GTACGTATAGTCTAAAGGGTACGTATAGACTTAAGGTAACGTCTAGACATAAGGGAACGTGTAGGCATAAGAGAACGTCTAAGCATAAGAGAACATCTAGACATAAGGGAACGTCTAGATATAAGAGAACTTATAGAATTAAGGGTATGTATAGACTTAAGGGAACGTCTAGACATAAGGGAACGTCTAAACAGAAGGGAACGTCTAGACTTAAGGGTACGTATAGACTTAAGGGAACGTCTAGACATACGAGAACTCCTAGACTTAAGGGAACGTCTAGACTTAAAAGAACATCCATATGGGAGAACAGTTTCTCAACCCCTGCTATATTCTGCCTGGTCTGAAACAATTCGGCGGCTAATAAGAAAAGAATAATATATTTATTATTTTTTACTCAAAAATAAAATGAATGTGAGTGAGTCTCTATATAAGATTTTGTTATAAAAAACGTTCAAGAGGTTGGTAAAGTGTAAATCCATGTTTGATGGTGGAACGTGATGTTTTTGAAATCTAAGGGAGTGGGCATACGTTTGTCATAACCATATGGAATAAAATACATATTTTAGATGTAATTCAATACTTTGAAAAAAAACCACACCCCAAAATACGCCCAGATATTACATGCAGGTTTGGTATGAACAATTTAATCCTTTTTTTCAATTACTCAATACCCGAATATGTTAAAGGTAGTAACATGCACAGTATCAACTCCGTAAGCTCCATTTTATCAGATTATGAAAGGCGATCTCCGTTGACAGCAGCAATAAATACAACACTTGATGAGACGCTGATTAAATATATTTGCATACAATGCTACAACCTTGACTGGGGTGATGTGGCCAGGTTACACTAAGACGTGATTACGAATTTGCATCAGCTTGCAGCTTGACACAGCTCAATGCTAACTTGGAAAACTTTCGCACCCGTTGAACGCAACAATTACAATTTGAGTCAGATCAATTAGATACTAACTTTGATTGATTCTGGACCTTTGGATGTATCATACAAACACATAGTTTCGTTGCAGTACGGGTTGTTACGGAGAGGGCATCGTTCTTTTTATATAAGAAAGTCGTTGTATTGATTTAATTTGTTCACTCGTCTACCTGTAAGAAATTTGGATCTTTCAACCCTTTTATTGAAATTTATCACACGTTTTTAGTAGGGGTGGGTATTGCAGAGAATTTTCATATTGCGATATATTGCGATGCGGAAGCATATATTGCGATATGTATTGCAATATATTGCAAGGATTATTTTTTTTAACAAAAACTACTTATAATCGAGTTAATGCTTGGTTATAAAGCAAAAACACAACAAAATCACTATGATTGATTAACCTTTTATAAAAACTCTTAATCATGACAAAATAAAAATGTAAGAAACATTTGACACTAATGAAACAGGGAAAAGAACAATTAAAAAAACGGAAATATCCGAAGATTTCCGAGTGTTACGAAGTTTTCCGAATGCATGTCAAAATACCGGTTTTCGATCAGCGTATCGCAATACGTATCGTTTTCATGTAGTGTCTATCGTCTTAACTACAATCAGGAGCAAAGTAGGCCCCTGCCATCGGAATGTCGGTTTGAATCAGTGTATGAAATAAGGCCCGTCCGACCGCCCGAGAGGGGTCACAAATTTACAGCCAGCTAGCCTGATGGTCTCGTAAAAAGTTTTGATAACATGTTCCACACATCTGAGTAAATTCACCATATCTTATAATTTATTTTTAATTGAGCATTACACGTAGACTTGACATTAGTTGTCAATTATTGTTTGAACATTGAACTAGCGTATCGCAAGCTCAAAGCAGTGCCTTTACTTATATTATCACTAAAACAGCGACACCTATCGATGCGCGGAGTTCTGCAAACTCGGATTTCTCTGAAAATGGCAGTTGTGAATAGCCTGTTAGACATGTCTCAGGTTCATTACATTATTCATTGTAACTAGAAATTGAGTTATTTTCTTTGGATATTCTGGTCTAAATCCATTTTGGGCTGGTAACATTTTGAAGTTACCAGACCTGATGTCTGGCTGGGTTTTGGCTTATTTCATATACTATTTGAATCTCAGAGATTGTCTCCCCTGGTTTGGCAGAGCGGGACAGGGCGTCGAAGTTCTAGAGAACTGGTAGCCCTTGTGTGAGGGCCCCTGTATTAGACTTAGACCGATTGTGGATAAAGTAATGCAAGAGGCATTTTTTAGAATGGTATCCAGGCTACATTATTTTAAAGGGTGCTTATCACGAAAAGACAGGATATTAAGCTGAAAAAAGTGTTTTTGACCCTTAATATTGAAAAAAACCCAAAATGGCCGCCAAAATTACCTAAAATAGTGGTCGGTGTGTAGAGTATTTTCGCCTATGGCTGTATTTCTATTTATTAAATGTTGGAAACCGGACTTTTAAGACATTTAAAGAGTGCTGATCATGAATAAATATGATAGAAGCTGAAAAATGATTTTTGGACCTTCACATTTGAAAAACAAAATGGCCGCCATAGTCACCTCGGATAGTGGTAGGTGTGCACGGTATTCTATTTTTTCGTGATCAGCACCGTTTAAATGGCAAAAAGAGTCAGGTTTTAAAAACAATTAGAAAATAGATATACGGTCACAGGTGATGATATACCATGCACACCCACCACTACTTGATGTGACTACTTGAGGAGGCCATTTTGATTTTCAATTTTTATGGGGGGCCCAAAAAAGGCAGCAGCCCATGCTTGTAATAAGAGGCGACTAACGGGATCAGGTGGTCAGGCTCGCTGACTTGGTTGACACATGTCATAGTATCCCAGTTGTGTAGACGTGTTCATGCTGTTGATCACTGGTCCAGACTAGATTATTTACAGACCGCCGCCATATAGCTGGAATATTGCTGCGTGCGGCGTTACCGCCCCCCCCCAAAAAAAAACAAAACAAAACAAAAACAACAACAACAAAACAACAACAACAAAAAACAAAAAAAACAAAAAAACAAAAACTAACCCCATTTTGCATTCAACAGTATCGTCAAACGTGACAATTGTTGAAAGCGACGTTGAATCTAAACTCACTATTTATTAACTGTTTCTTTCATTGTCTTTTATTGTTTCCAAATATACTCTCCCCAAAAAGAAACGCATCATGAAAATAGCAATTTCATGTAGCAATGAATTAAAACGTGATTCATTTTACAAAAGGTTTGCTCTGTTTATGAGTCCCATGGTGTTTATGTTTTGAAACATCACAACAAAACGCACCATCCGTAAAATACCTGTATTTAACAGCATGATTTTCAATTTCGGCCTGTAGTGTCACAGAATACACAATTCACATGCAATGCACGTGGAAGTTGGGGATCAGATAGTCTCAATGATGGGTATAAAAGATTGATCGCTGTCTGTCGATTATTCAATGTATTTGGAATATTGTTGACGTACGCAAAATGCCACGTCTATGTGAAGCCAACCGTCATATCGCCATTGGTTTGCTTGAAGCTGACCAGTCTCAACGTGCAGTTGCCCGACGCATGAATGTTCACCAAAGCACCATTTCACGGCTCTGGGAGAGATATCGCGGGCAGAATTCGGTAGCAGATGCCCCTCGTAGTGGGCGACCTCGAGCGACCACTGCGGCGCAGGATCGCTACATCCGGGTCCATCACCTGCGTCATCGAACAGCTACGGCCACCAGTACCGCTCGACAAATACCCGGATTGAGGAGGTTTTCTGCACAAACCGTCAGGAACAGGTTGAGAGAGGCTGGTTTTCGTGCCAGAAGACCTTATTTTGGCCCTGTGCTTCGACAACAACATCGTCGACATCGAGTTCAATGGTGCACCAACGTTCAGGCCTGGAACCTACCGAATTGGCGTAGAATCTGGTTCAGTGATGAATCACGATTTCTATTGGAACGACGCGATGGAAGAATGCGGGTGTACAGACGTCGACGTGAACGTTTCGCCGACGCTTGCGTTCCCCAGGTGGACAGATTCGGCCGGGGCTGTGTTATGATGTGGGGAGCGATCACCTGCCGTAGGAGAAGTGATTTGGTGATGATCCAGGGCAACCTGACAGCTCAACGGTACTGTGACGAAATCCTACGCCCACACCTCCTTCCAATCATTGATCGCCAGAGGGAGTTGTTTCAACAGGACAATGCCAGGCCCCACACAGCACGTCACACTAGAGACTTCCTCCAGAACCACAACATCAATGTGCTCCCCTGGCCCTCAAGATCACCGGACTTAAACCCGATCGAACATCTGTGGGATGCCCTGGACAGACGGGTGCGACGCCGTAACCCTCAGCCCCAGACACTTCAGCAACTCGCACAGGCACTACAGGCAGAGTGGGCTGCGATTGGGCAACACGAGATTCTGATACTTATTCGTTCGATGCCGAGGCGATGCCGTGCAGTTCTGGATGCCCACGGTGGTCACACGAGGTATTGACCTCAGCGCCACCACACGTCTCCATGTGACACTCAAACTCCTCGAGTTGGTGCCAAAGACGGATAAGTCTGCATTCCCAGTGTGCAATTTCGCTATATTTCATTGACTTATAAAGCCTACAAGATGTTTCAAAATAAACATAAAAGTACAGTTGAAATTCCTGATGCGTTTCTTTTTTGGGGGAGTATATTAAGACCTCAGTACCAGGGAATAACACATTATACACTGAGGCCGATTCCAGTGGGCGTTCAAGACAAACTAGCTGTAAAAGTACATGAAATACATGACACCAGGTGTTCGCGAAAAGGGGTAAACAAAGCTTACCCAGCCGGCTCATGCTCATGGTGTCGAGCTGGACCAAAGATATTCGAGCTGCTGTTAAAACCAGGTCAGGGTTAAACACTCAGTCACAGCTCGGGTGACTCCAACAAGCATGTTTAAAGTACACCCGTACACATTGCAACATATCTATAAGGCTCCGGTTACACTCCAGCCAACCAGCTACCGACAAGCACCATCCACACCGTGTGACACGGGTGTATATATAGGGCGTGTAGTACGGACGTTATTCCATCGACGCATCACAAAACTGCCGTCATGATGAAAATCGCCCTGTTCGCTCTATTCGTTGCCTTGACTGCAGCAGGTCCTGTTGCCGATCCTTGCTGCACCCCCGACCAATGGGAAGGCATTGCTGGCAGCATCGTGGGATCTGTGACCAACGGGAAGAGCACCTCAGCTCAGGTATTTATGGCTTGTCTGTCTGTGTGTCTGTCTGACTGTCTGTTTGTTCGTTTCTTTCTTTCTTTGTTTAACCAATGGGAAGAGCACCTCAGCTCAGGTATTTATGGCTTGTTTGTTTGTCTGTCTGTCTGTCTGTCTGTTTTTTTGTTTGTTTGTTTAACGCCGCACGCGGTATTATACCAGCTATATGGTTGCGGTCTGTAAATAATGAAATCTTGACAAGACACTCAAGTGCTTGACATCGTGAGCATCGATCTCCAGAACTGGGACACGATGACGTGCATCAACTATTCTTACTTTCAGTCGCCTGTCACGGTCTGAAATATATACCGGCTCACTTATTAATGTGGATCGCACATTATGATTTTGCAGACGATGTAATTCTAGTATCTACCTTAATTATTGGGTTACAAAACCAACTAAACATACTAGAAAGATATTCTTCAGAATGGTCGCTATCAGTAAATCTTCAAAAGACTAATATTGTTGTATTTAGAAAAGGTGGTCCCCTCTCTTCGAAGGAAAAGTGGTGTTTTAATTCTAAACCCGTTAATGTCGTAAATCATTATAAATACCTCGGTGTAAAGCTTTTCCTTAACTATGAACTGGACACATTGTGCTGCAGATTTAGCTCTCAGAGCTAAGAAAGCACTGTTACACCTCTTGTCCGTTTATAACAACGTTGGTTTCCTTACCCACAACGTGTTTTTCAAATTATTTGATGTACACATTCAGCCTATTCTTTTGTACGGTTCCGAAATATGGGGCTTCCAACCTTTCCAAGCGCTTGAAAAGATACACTTACTGGCCTGCAAGAAATTTCTAGGCGTTACACAATCTACCCCTAACGACATGGTATATGGAGAATGTGGGAGATTTCCAGTTTTCATTAATGCTCAAATTAGATGCTTAAAATACTGGCTAAAGATAGCACAATCACCGTCTCCCGAACATTTCCTACAATATGCTTCTACATTTAGAAAGTAACGGCAAAGAAACTTGGGCGTCCCATATAAGGAACCTTCTTTGTTCTAAAGGTTTTGGTATCGTCTGGTTAAACCAAGGCGTAGGTAATGTCAATGTTTTCCTGAACCAGTTTAGAGATCGCTGTATATGTATTTTTTCAACAAGAATGGCACTCGAGGTTAGAAGAAAGCTCCCGTTTTGATTGTTACAGACAGTTTAAGTCCCTTTTAGAACCAGAAAGATATTTATCCCTCGTGACTACAAAGAATCTGAGACTGGTACTTGTAAAATTTAGATTGGGACTATTAGATTTAAAAGTAAAAGAAGGAAGAAGACTATCCATTGATAGAAATTACAGATCATGTCCATTTTGTAAAAAAGGCATTGAAGACGAATTACATTTTCTTGTTGAATGTCCAGCCTATGATAAAATCCGTTCTGATTATCTCCGTAAGTGTATTACAATCAGAAGTAATAATGCAGCATTTTACAAAATTGTTTCCTCATGCGATGTCTCCATTTTAAAAAGATTATCACTGTATATCCATCATGCTATTATGTTAAGAAAACAATTGTTATCCTCCTAAATAAGAACCTTCTTTGTAACCGATGTATATGGGCCGGGGGCCTTACATACAAATAAACATATTTTGACTTTTGACTTTGATATGAAGTGCAGTCGAGCACCGTTGTCTCGATATTCATGGGACCAAGAAAAAAAATCGAGTTATACGAACTTCGAGACATCCGATGTGGGAATATCATCACATATCACTATGAAAGAAATGTTTTGAGTTTGTATATATATTACGACTGAAAGTAAAGATGAGTGTGGCAGCCAGCCGTGAAGGTTCAATTATAAAAGAATGTTGCAAAAGTTATAAAACTGCTATTGCTGGCAAACAAGGATAAGTTGAGCACCGACCTGACAATTGACCCGTATTAGCATGTATGGGTGCCGACCACTGGCGCTTGCCATTGTTAGCGAAGGAGCCCCAGGTTGTCCGCGATGAAGTATAGTGCGATGGGTGAAGCAAGGCGTGTGCAGCTACGCGCAAAATCAATTTCATCGTCATGTAATACACGTGCACTAGCCTACATCAGCTCTGCCTTTCACAAACAAAATGGATTTGCTCCTTGCCGTGCACCGCCTACCGCTCGTAAACGCGTTCTCTGCGCCGGTCCAACTTAACCTTGTATGCAAGTGAGTGAGTGAGTTGAGTTTTACGCCGCACTCAGCAATATTCCAGCTATATGGCTGTGCTTGCTAGTAGTTGTTTTCGTAGGATAGTTTTTTATGTTTTGTTTTTGTTTGTTTGTTTGATTGTTCGGGGCTATTTTTGTTTATCTTTGAACATTCTCTAAACTTGGGTTCAAATACACCAAGGGTTTAAATATAACATACCAGTTGATATGGCTAAGTCAATACGATAATAGCGGCGTAAAAAAGCCTTACTTACTCACTCACTCTTATACGCACTAACGCGTGAAGATCCGGGTTAGAATTGAGCTTCTGCAACCCATGCTTGTAAGAGGCAACTATCGAAATCGGGTGGTCAGGCTCGCTGACTTGGTTGACACGTCATGGTATCCCTATTGCGTAGATCGATGCTTATGCTGTTGATCACTGGATTGCCTGGTCCAGACTCGATTATTTACAGACTGTCGCCATATAGCTGGAATATTGCCAAATGCGACATAAAACAAGAAACAAACAAATGTTTACGCACCAACCTGCTTTCCCGAGAATAACCGAATTTATGTGGATCGATTGGTCACATGTATGCCCTTGTTCATTCCAAGTCCTCCGACGTTGTTCGTGTTCTCATATACTGGTGCGTCAGCGTCCCCGTACCAGGTGCTTGTTGCTTGGGGGGGGGCGGTGGGGTAGCCTAGTGATTGAAGCGTTGGCTCGTCACGCCGAAGACCCTGGTTCGAATCCCCACATGGGTACAATGTGTGAAGCCCATTTCTGGTGTCCCCTGCCGTCATGTTGCTGGAATATTGCTAAAAGCGACGTAAAACCAAACTCAGTCAGTCAGTCAGTTGTTACTTGGGCACAGGTTCCGTACCACAGTACCATCGTAGCCCTACGATTACCGTAATGTGCATAATTTCACGGCCCATATTACGACAACCGCATTGTAAAACAGCGCGGGACGGTGGGGTAGTCTAGTAGTTAAAGCGTTTGCTCATCGCGCCGAAGACCCGGGTTCGATTCCCCACGTGGGTACAATGTGTTAAGCCCATTTCTGGTGTCCCCCACCGTGATATTGCTAGAATATTGCTGAAAGCGGCGTAAAACTTAATTCAGTCACTGTAAAACGACGCCCTCGCTGATTGTGTTTCATCGTACTCAGTTGCTCATGCTATCAACCATCCGTTTGTCTGGTCAAGAGTCGATTTACACAGGAAATCCTCTTTATTTTTGCCTGCTTGGTTCAGGTTTGTTTGTTTATTGTTTCGTTGTTGACTATCGATGACGCCACAATCAAAACATATCACGTAAAATATCTGTATGTGAACAATGACTAAGCGTATCAAAGTCACATGTAACTATTCGAGCCTGGTTCATTTTTCACGATCAACCACTTCCGTCACAAACACTTGCAAAGGCAGGTAAACTACTAATATTCACTTGAAAAAACCCACGTGAACCTATTGCGAAATACACCTGGCGTCATTTTCCATGATGGTTTTAATGGGCATTTTTTTCTGAGACGAGCTATCGATATCTTCTTCTTCAACAGTCAACGACTTTAATGTCCTACGACTTCACCGACATGATGCTAGCTTCTGACACCACCACCATGGTTGACGGCATGACCTTCAAGAACAAGACAATCATCGACTACAACAAGGTAAGCAGACAAGAGTGTCTTTCTACACTTTAATTAAAGTCACACGAAGTTGAAGAAACCTGTGTAGCTACTTCGAGTTATTCGAGGTTTGACAAATCCTCAAATAGTGACTATATTAGAAATGCGCAGGGGCCAAGAGTTTACTTCGAAACAAGCGTAGGTTCGGCACATCAAACTTCGACACAACGGTAGATCGGTAGCTCGATCCCCGGCCATAAACGAAGACGCTAAAAGATGCTGCTTATTGTTACCCTGCCTGTGCTCGCCGTTAATCTTGTGCTCATTATCTGCCCGTAGTTTTCTTCTGAACATCCTACCGTTACATTCCAAAATGAAATGGGTGCCTGTTTACGTATATTTCAAGTTACAAGTAGCCTTTATTTTGCTAGCATGATCTTTTTCTTGTTTCTCGTAGCGGGGCGGTGGGGTAGCCTAGTGGTTAAAGTGTTGGCTCGTCACGCCGAAGACCCGGGTTCGATTCCCCACATGGGCACAATGTGTGAAGCCTATTTCTGGAGTCCCCCGCCGTGATATTGCTGGAATATTGTGGTGGCGCGTGGTCCTGTGCTTAAAGCTCAGGTCACAAATCGGTGAAGTTAAGCAGCGTCGAGCTCGGAGAGTCCTTGGATGGGTGACCGTGTTTGGCAGCTTGACTCCTGAGAGTTTCTAGGACTTGAGTCCTGCCCCACAACGAAACACATGTGACACATGTGGTCTCACCTTAGGCAAGTGAGTTTGTTCAAAATTGTCTCTGTTCACCCAGCAGGAAAATGGGTACCCGGTGGAAAAAAGTCATATGACTATAACCTTCTAGCGCCTAACAGGCAGCTTGGGTTATCCTGGGTAATAATGTGCTGTGCCTTGATTGTTAGCGCTATGAGCATACCTAGTGTGGAGTTTGGCGCCATATAAATGGACACATTATTATTATTATTATTATTATTATTAATATTGCTAAAAGCGGCGTAAAACCCAGTCAGTCAGTCAGTTTCTCGTAGCCCGTCAGCCCCAGACCCAGACTAACCCCTAACATACTCTAGATAATGTTTATTATTACACGAACGAGTGTGTCATACGGCTTATACGAAACGAGTGTGAAATTTAGTGTTGCTCGAGTGAAATAATGTCTTAATTATCCATTTTATTCATGTATATTTGTGCAGTGAAACACGATAAGCAAGTGTGACGGCCCTCTTCATTGACGTCACCATCAGTTTTTGTATGACGTTACAGACGACGAAATACAGAAACAATGGTTGCTAGGCAAAAGCGATCATGTAATATGTGCACATGTGGACATATGATATATATGTTTCATATATGGGTAATAATCGCTAATATGTGCACAGGCTAATACCAGGAAGATGTGACACGCCCCGTTGTATTGCTGTTATATTCATTTAATGAACTATAGTATGACCAGAAATTATTGAGAATTTTAGGAATATGTTTAATTGGATTTCTAGTATAAACAACCTTGACCAGCTATCAAGTGCTTGGTTTTATTCAAGAGAGACAACTCCGTTAATCCTTTATCATTAGTTTGTGAAGAGTTATGCCCCTTTGTTTACGACATTTTCAGTGATCCTCAGTGTGGATGATTTAGAGAAGAAGAATTTGATTTTAGAGTATTATAACAAGGACATCAGATCAGCTAAAGTGGCATCCCTTTGTCCACTGTTTATCGTGTTGAAAAATATTGAAAAATTTATTGAAAAATATTGCAAATGGATATGGCATTGAGCACCATGGAGGCGCAGGTAGGCCCATAAAATTGATTGTCGGTGACAGGAGGCGGCTTGGTATACTCGTTTCTAAAAACAAACGAAGGAGTTTAGAAAACTTAAGGCTGGATATGATTGATAGAGAAACTGTGGCTGTCTGTAAGGAGACAATTAGAACTGAGCTGCATTCCATCACCGATCATGAAACCTGAACAAAAGGAGCGAAGGTTGAACTGGTGCTTACAGCATAGACATTTTAACTGGGACAATGTGATTTTCTCAGATGAAAGTTCTGTGTGGCTGTTTCCTAATACACTGAAAATCTGGACCAAACAAACTGAAAAACCTTTGTATCAGCGCCCAAAGTATAGTCCGAAATTTAACGTGTGGGGTTGCATATCTGTGTTAGGGGCAACGCCCCTCTGTGTATTTGAAGGGAATATGAACAGTGAGCGGTACACAGATATTCTCGAGGGACATTTACTTCCATCTGCTCACGTGTTCTATGGAAATTGTGGATTTTTCAGCAGGACAACCACCCAAAACATCGTTCAAAGCATTCACAGGCCTGGTTTCGGACCCAAAATACGACATTATTAGATTGGCCAAGCTATAGCCCTGACCTAAATCCAACAGAAAATGTTTGGGGACTTATGAAGGAAAAATCTGACAAATATTGCTGAAATGAACGAAGAGGTGGTCCGATATTGGGACAGCATGGACAACGACTTTCTAACTTCTTTGATCAGTAGTATGCCCCGCCACATTGAAGCCTGCATTGCAGCCCATGGTGACTTGACAAAATACTAACTGTTCACCTGTTTTTGAATCTGGAGTTATGTTCTGCTAATATTCACATTTAATACGTGAGTAATGAGTGAAAAAAATTACAATCTTTAAATTCTCAACAAATTCTGGTTGTACTGTAGTTGTTTGTTCCAACTCTATGAAATAATGCACTTTGATATTACTCGTAGCTGTAATATCGTTTTGTGGAAAGAGGACCTGTGTGCAATGACGTGTGTGTAAATATTATGTCACATTTGACTGCAGTGACGAACTGGTGACGTCATCAGGGGTGATATATCTGGATATGATAATGTTCCAGAAACTGATGTATAACTTCAACGAGATGTCGGGCGTCTGTGACGTGATGGAGTTTGACCAACCCTTCCAGAAGGCCTGCGTCCCAGGTGAGTGAGTGAGTGACTGATGGCAGGTACTTGCAAGCGAGTGAATCAGCGAGGAAGCGTGCGTGAGAGTGTGCGAGGGAGCGTGCGAGTGAGTGAGCGAGGGGGCGTGCGTGCGAGTGAGTGAGGAAGCTTGCGTGCGAGTGAGTGAGTGAGGGAGCGTGCGAGCGAGTGAGTGAGCGAGGGAACGTGCGTGCGTTCGAGTGAGCGAGGGAACGTGCGTTCGAGTGAGCGCGGGAGCATGCCAGCGAGTGAGTGAGGGAGGGAGCGGGCGTGCGAGTGAGTGAGGGGGCGTGCGACTGAGTGACTCGATGTGTTGGTATATGACTCGATGTGATTATATGTGACTCGATGTGATGGTATGTGACTCGATGTGACTCGATGTGACCCGATGTCACTCGATGTGTTCATATGTGACTCGATGTGATGATATGTGACTCAATGTGATGGTATGTGACTCGATGTGATGATGTGTGACTCGATGTAATGGTATGTGACCCAATGTGATGGTATGTGACTCGATGTGATGATGTGTGACTCGATGTAATGGTATGTGACTCGATGTGATGTCATGTGACTCGATGTGATGGTATGTGACTCGATGTGATGATATGTGACTCGATGTGATGATATGTGACTCGATGTGATGATATGTGACTCGATGTGATGGTATGTTACTCGATGTGATGATATGTGACTCGATGTGATGATATGTGACTCAATGTGATGGTATGTGACTCGATGGGATGATGTGTGACTCAATGTGATGGTATGTGACTCAATGTGAAGGTATGTGACTCGATGTGATGATATGTGACTCGATGTGATGATATATGACTATGTGACTCGATGTGATGATATGTGACTCGATGTGATGGTATGTGATGATGTGATGATATGTGACTCAATGTGATGTGATATGTGACCCGATGTGATGATGTGTTGATGTGACTCAATGTGATGATATGTGACTCAATGTGACCAGATGTCACTCGATGTGATGATATGTGACTCAATGTGATGGTATGTGACTCGATGTGATGATATGTGACTCGATGTGATGATATGTGACTCAATGTGATGATATGTGACTCGATGTGATGGTATGTGACTCGATGTGATGGTATGTGACTCAATGTGATGGTATGTGACTCGATGTGATGATATGTGACTCGATGTGATGATATGTGACTCGATGTGATGATATGTGACTCAATGTGATGATATGTGACTCGATGTGATGGTATGTGACTCGATGTGATGGTATGTGACTCGATGTGATGATATGTGACTCGATGTGATGGTATGTGACTCGATGTGATGATGTGTGACTCGATGTGATGGTATGTGACTCGATGTGATGATATGTGACTCGATGTGTTGGTATGTGACTCGATGTGATGATATGTGACTCAATGTGACCCGATGTCACTCGATGTGATGATATGTGACTCAATGTGATGGTATGTGACTCGATGTGATGATATGTGACTCGATGTGATGATATGTGACTCAATGTGATGGTATGTGACTCGATGTGATGATATGTCACTCGATGTGATGTGACTCGATGTGATGATATGTGACTCGATGTAATGGTATGTGACTCGATGTGATGGTATGTGACTCGATGTGATGATATGTGACTCGATGTGTTGATGGTATGTGATGATATGTGACTCGATGTGATGATATGTGACTCAATGTGATGATATGTGACTCAATGTGATGTCATGTGACTCGATGTGATATGTGACTCGATGTGATGATATGTGACTCGATGTGATGATGTGACTCGATGTGGTATGTTACTCGATGTGATGTGACTCGATGTGTTGATATGTGACTCGATGTGATGATATGTGACTCAATGTCATGTCACTCGATGTGATGATATGTGACTCGATGTGATGGTATGTGACTCGATGTGATGATATGTGACTCGATGTGATGATATGTACTCAATGTAACGTCGATGTGATGATATTTGCAATAGTACTCGATTGATGATATTTCAGCCATATCGTGGACTCGATGTGATTGTATGTGACTCGATGTGATGGCATGTGGCTCGATGTGATGGTATGTGACTCGATGTGATGGTATGTGACTCGAGGTGATGATATCTGACTCGATGTGATAATATGTGATGATTCCAAAACCCGAGGGGATAATACAATGTGATCTTACAATGAGGTGAGGTGAGGTGAAATTGGGTTTTACGTCGTGCTTGAGAATATTCCGCTCATATGACGACGTGCATGCGTATGTATGTGTATGTGCGGCTGCTTGTACTAGCCCAGACTGAAGCTGGTTTTGTAGTGCTAGCCCACTGAGATACCATGCTGCAGTGAAGCATGAATTCCCCACTCAGACACATTATACTGACTCCGAGCCGACCAGTCCTTGTTGTACCCATTTATGCCGAGCACCAGGCAGGGACCAACAAGTACCATATTTTAACGTCTTTTGGTATGACGCGGTCGGGGATCTAACCCGCGACCTTCCGCTCTCTGGGCGGACGCTCTAACCACTACACCACGGACGCAATGTGGGTGACGCAACGGGCGTGAGTTGATGATACAAAGTCGATGTGTGTTGATACAAAGACGATGTGTGTTGATACAAAGACGATGTGTGTTGATACAAAGTTGCGATGTGATAATACAAAGACGATATATGTTGAAACGAATACTTTGTAATATCGTGATCCAGGGCATTTGATTATCTCTTCTCCAGATAATGCAAAAGAGCTCGGTAATTTTTACTATGGCGCCGGTGACAACATGCTGCAGGCAACCTCATACATGATCCAACAAGATCCTTTCACAGCCTACGTCTCCATGACCACAACAGGCTGCATCCCAATCACCGAGATCGCCTACGGTGATCTCGGCACAAGTACGTAGCTATTTGAGTGAGTGAGTGAGTGAGTGAGAAGTTTTACGCCTCTCTTAGCAATATTCCTGCAATACACCAGAAATGGGCTTCACACATTGTACTCAGGTAGGGAATCGAACCCAGATCTACCAAGTAATGGTGTATGATGTCCTTTGATTCATATGTACGATGCCTCTTATTCAGGTGTATGATACCCCTTGATTCAGGTGTATCGTACCCCTTGATTCAGGTGTATCATACCCCTTGATTCAGGCATATGGTACCCTTTGATTCAGGTGTATGATACCCCTTGATCCAGGTGTATCGTACCCCTTGATTTAGGTGTATCATACCCCTTGATTCAGGCATATGGTACCTTTTGATTCAGGCGTATGATACCCCTTGATTCAGGTGTATCATACCCCTTGATTCAGGTGTATCATACCCCTTGATTCAGGCATATGGTACCCCTTGATTCAGGTGTATCGTACCCCTTGATTCAGGTGTATCATACCCCTTGATTCAGGCATATGGTATCCCTTGATTCAGATGTATCGTACCCCTTGATTCAGGTGTATCATACCCCTTGATTCAGGCATATGGTACCCTTTGATTCAGGTGTATCATACCCCTTGATGCAGGCATATGGTACCCTTTGATTCAGGTGTATCATACCCCTTGATTCAGGCATATGGTACCCTTTGATTCAGGTGTATGATACCCCTTGATTCAGGTGTATGATACCCCTTGATTCAGGCATATGGTACCCTTTGATTCAGGTGTATGATACCCCTTGATTCAGGTGTATCATACCCCTTGATTCAGGTGTATCATACCCCTTGATTCAGGTGTATCATACCCCTTGATTCAGGCATATGGTACCCCTTGATTCAGGTGTATCATACCCCTTGATTCAGGTGTATCATACCCCTTGATTCAGGCATATGTTACCCCTTGATTCAGGCATATGGTACCCTTTGATTCAGGTGTATCATACCCCTTGATTCAGGCATATGGTACCCTTTGATTCCGGTGTATCATACCCCTTGATTCAGGCATATGGTACCCTTTGATTCAGGTGTAACGTACCCCTTGATTCAGGCATATGGTACCCCTAGATTCAGGCATATGGTACCCCTTGATTCAGGCATATGGTACCCTTTGATTCAGGCATATGGTACCCCTTGATTCAGGCATATGGTACCCTTTGATTCAGGCATATGGTACCCCTTGATTCAGGCATATGGTACCCTTTGATTCAGGCATATGGTACCCTTTGATTCAGGACGTTTGGATAACTGAAGCCTAGGCCTGCTATTGTCATTAAACTAAATATGGATTAGCTGTGCGCATTGCTGATATTATTCCAAGTTGCGATAATGTTACCTTATAGCTCATTAGAGCACAACGGCTCTACCATTTGCTACTAAGGACGAAGACCCAGATCAATCCCCCCTAAGTGTAAAGTCTTCTTTGTACTAAAGCGGAGTTAAACTCCATTAACTCACTCACGCCCTCAAAGTATGGATCATTCTGTATGTTCTTTCTGTTTCAGCCGCCGTAATGACCACCACTGGGTTTGTAAACATCACTCCTGGAATCAAAGATAAATCTGTCTTCACCCCACCATCGGCCTGTGCTCAGGCCAAAGTGGTAAGTGTTGTCTATAAACATCTCCTAGAGGCCTGTGCTCAGGCCAAAATGGTAGTGTTGTCTATAAACATCTCCTGGAGGCCCGTGCTCAGGCCAAAGTGGTAAGTGTTGTTCATAAACATTTACCAAAGGTCTGTGGTCAAGCCAAAGTGGTAAGTGTTGCCTATGAATATTTTCAAGAGGTCTGTGATCAGGCCAAAGTGGTAAGTGTTGCTTATAAACATCTCCTTTAGGTCTTAGATCAAGCCAAAGTGGTAAGTGTTGTCTATAAACATCTTCTAGAGGTCTGTGCTCAGGCCAAAGTGGTAAGTGTTACCTATAAACATCTACCAGAGGTCTGTGATCAAGCCAAAGTGGTAAGTGTTACTTATAAATCTCTACCAGAGGTATGTGATGAAGCCAAAGTGGTAAATGTTGCCTATAAACATCTACCAGAGGTCTGTGATCAAGCCAAAGTGGTAAGTGTTGCCTATAGACATTTTCAAGAGGTCTGTGATCAAGCCAAAGTGGTAAGTGTTCTCTGTAAACATCTTCTAGAAGTCTGAGATCAAGCCAAAGTGGTAATTGTTACCTATAAACATCTACCAGAGGTCTGTGATCAAGCCAAAGTGTAAAGTGTTCTCTGTAAACATCTTCTAGGGGTCTGTGATCAAGCCAAAGTGGTAAGTGTTACCTATTAAACATCTACCAGAGGTCTGTGATCAAGCTAATGTGGTAAGTGTTACCTATAAACATCTACCAGAGGTCTGTGATCAAGCCAAAGTGGTAAGTGTTCCCTGTAAACATCTTCTAGAGGTCTGTGATCAAGCCAAAGTGGTAAGTGTTACCTATTAACATCTACCAGAGGTCTGTGGTCAAGCCAAAGTGGTATATGTTACCTATAAACATCTACCAGAGGTCTGTGGTCAAGCCAAAGTGGTAAGTGTTCTCTGTAAACATCCTCTTGAGGTCTGTGGTCAAGCCAAAGTGGTAAGTGTTACCTATACACATCTGGAGGCCTGTGATCAAGCCAAAGTGGTAAGTGTTGCCTATAAACATTTTCAAAAGGTCTTAATGATACAAAATACTTACCTCACTGATTCAACCCTCAGCATTTTTGATACAATACCCTTGAAGATCCGGGTAAGAATTCCGGGTTAGATGCGGGTCTTCAGTAACCCATGCTTGTCGTCAGAGGTGACAAACGGTACCAGGTGGTCAGGCTCGCTGACTTGGTCGTATTCCAATTGCGTAGATCGATGCTCATGCTGTTGATCACTGGATTGTCTGGTCAAGATTCGATTATTAAAATCCCGCCGCAATGAAGCTGGAATATTTTCTACTGTGGCGTAAAACTAACTCACTCACTTGCTGTTACAATACCCAGGATGTTAAAACGATCCATGATATTATGACACGAACTTAAAAACAATCTAAAATCGGTGAACCGAGACTGATGTTTCAATATTTACGCCGCACTCAGCTATATAGCGGCGGTCTGTAAATGATCGAGTCTGAACTCAGTGATCAACAGCATGAGCATCGATCTAAGCAACTGGGAACCGATGACTTGTGTCAACCAAGTCAGGGAGCCTTACCACCTGATCCCGTTAGTCGCCTCTTACGACAAGCATGGGTAACTATAGACCAATTCTAACCCGGATCTTCACGGGTACAGTCGAGTCTGAAGATGCTATTCGTACCGTTGCCTGGTACGACAAGCAAGAGGAACTCTGTTTCTAATCCCCATGTGTAAGGTGACGCAAAAAGCGGCTTCAGCGTTATAATTTTTAATATAGCGGTAACCTCACTCACTTCACTACATAGGGGCGGTGGGGTAGCCTAGTGGTTAAAGCGTTTGCTCTTCACGCCAAAGGCCGGGGTTCGATTCCCCACATGCGTACGGTGTGTGGAGACCATTTCTGGTGTCCCCCGCTGTGATGTTGTTGGAATATTGCTAAAAGTGGCGTACAACCATACTCACTCACCCAGCCTCTGTTCACCCAGCAGAAAATGGGTACCCGGTTGGATAAAGTCATGTGACTATAACCTTCTAGCGCCTAACAGGCAGCTTGGGTCATCCGGGGTAATAATAATCAGGGTGTTAGCGCCTTGTTGCGTGGAGATTAGCGCATTATAAGACTTCTCATTATTATTATTATTATTATTATTATTATTATATCAATCGCTACCCCAATCAACGCTTTGTCGGTAATTTATATATGTTTATATGTATTGTCATTTCAGCAAGACGCCAAGAAGAGTACTACACGTGGCATGCTTGGCCTCCATGTTTAGTTATTTTCCTCGGATTAACATGTCTCGCCACGCTGCCCTATGTGGTACGGAACCACGCGAGAGAACTAGCAACTCTGTTTCAACTTTAGATCAATAAAAAAAGTCACAAGCTGAACAATTCCGCCGTGATCCGATGTTGTTTTTGTTTTGTTTTTAACATCGTTTCAAATATACGCAATCAACAGGGAAACCGAGTCTTACCCACGTGATCTAATCATAACCACGTGATCTGTCCTTGGCACTATTCAACAAAGTAATGATAGCGCTAGGACTAGCGTAGTTCCATGTTAAAGCGTCACCTTAGCGCTACGTGAAAGTATCACCTCGTAACCTACGGCTGTCGTAATTCTATTATAAAGTATCACCATAGCGCTACGACTGTCGTAATTCTATGTTAAAGTAACACCCCAGCCCTACGGCTGTCGTAATTCTATGTTAAAATATCACCTCAGCGTTACGGTTGTCGTAATTCTATGTTAAAGTATCACCTCAGCGTTACGGCTGTCGTAATTCTATGTTAAAGTATCACCTCAGCGTTACGGTTGTCGTAATTCTATGTTAAATTATCACCTCAGCGTTACGGTTGTCGTAATTCTATGTTAAAGTATCACCTCAGCGTTACGGTTGTCGTAATTCTATGTTAAATTATCACCTCAGCGTTACGGTTGTCGTAATTCTATGTTAAAGTATCACCTTTGCTCTACGATCGCTTTATTGAATGGGACCATGATCTCGGCTCAAAATGATTCAAACTGAAGACGAGTACTAGTGAGTGAGTTTAGTTTTACGCCGCACTCAGCAATATTCCAGCTATATGGCAGGGGTCTGTAAACAATCGAGTCTGGACCAGACAATCCAGTGATCAACAGCATGAGCATCGATCTACGCAATTGGGATACGATGACATGTGTCAGCCAAGTCAGCGAGTCTGACCACCTGCTCCTGTTTGTCGCCTCTTACGACAAGCATGGATTAAGAGATGAATCTTGAACAACATGATCAGCTGAAAAATCTCACGAAGGGGAACACCAGTAATAAACCCACCCAAACACGCACACGCACGCGCACATATACGGCGATGGTTAGGGTTGTATTATTGGAATAATGTATCAAAAACCATACCAATTTATTCATCGAGTGAAACGTATTTCTGACGCAAAAGTAGAAGCGCTGACTAAAAACATAACAGGACTGAAACAAGGCTTGGTATTGTCACCGTTACTGCCTTTCTGGAAAGTGTCACTTCAGAAAGTCTTTCTGACGCTCTTATTTTTTTCAATTTTATCTCTACAGTGGTAAAGTTTCTTTTGGCCCTCGAAATAGTTGCGGTTTCTTACCTTAAGCTTTGATTGTTCTCTCGTTTTGATAACGGTTGCAATATTTTGGTACAATCCCATTTATACACGTGTACTCATTTTTACACCAGAAATGGGCATCACACATTGTACCCATGTCGGGAATCGAACCCGGGTCTTCGGCGTGACCAGCGAACGCTTTAACCACTGGGCTACCCCAACGCCCCTGGACCTATTGAAGTGTGTTGCACGAAATGGATTTCTTCAAACAATTATATATTGAGAGACATCTATCACGCTGCAGAACACGAGGACTCAAGGTGTATGAAAACCTAATGCTGCCAACTTTCTATCATAATAAAAAATTTCACCGATCGTTGCTTCGAGTATTTTCGTTGCTGCAATTAATTTCTCGTTGCTTCAATCAATTTCTCGTCGCTTCAATTATTGTCTCGTTAATTTTCGAAATTTCAAGTATATTTTTCGTTACTTTAAGTTTCTTTAAAAACTTGAAATTTTAGGTATTTACTTGTTGCTTCAATGATTTTTTTTCGTTGCTTCGATTAATTTCTCGGTGCTTCAAATATTTTTTCAAACTTGAAATTTTAAGTACACTCTAAAAATAATAAGAAACGCACAGGCGTTCTCAGCAGTTGATTTCGACATACTTTGACAGCAGTCGTCATTAAGACATTTCCTATGTTTAAATCCTGTAATCGTGTCGTGGTTGTTGTGTACTGCGCTCAAACGGATACAAAAATGAAAACGGTACATGAAAGTGCATGCAGAAAATGTTTTCCACGTAAGGCACGTGCAATGTATCGGAAACATGAGTAGAGACATCGAATATAAACGGCCAAACCAAATTCATCATTTCATTACGAAATTTACGACGTAAACGATGATAAATAATGCAAAGATTGAATGCTTCTGACGATAATATCGCCATTGGACGTTCGGAAGCAGGGGAATCCCAGTCTGCCGTTGCAAGACACTTGAACGTCTACCACTGCACCATATCTCGATTATGGCATCGATATACCCGCTTCAATTCGACCCAAGATCGCCCTAGAAGTGGAAGACCAAAACTGACCACTCCTGCTCAGGACCGATTCATCCGAATGTTTCACCTACGTCACCGATTTGCTACAGCAACCAACCAAACCATCAGAAATCGTCTGGGAGAAGTTGGAATTTGAGCATATGGACCAAAGGTTGGACCTGTAACCTGACACGACTACACCAACAACGACGTTTCCAACGGTGCAACAGGATACATGCATTTAACCTGGGTAACTGGGGACGCGTTTTGTTCAGCGGTGAATCGCGTTTCCTCCTGCAACGACGGGACGGGAGACAACGTGTCTTTCGACGTCATCACGAACGTTTTGCGCCTAACTGCGTTTGACAGGTGGACAGATATGGTGGAGTGGGCGTCATGGTGTGGGGAGCCATGTCCTACGCGGGTAGATCAGAGCTATAAATAGTGGTGGTTCAAGGCAATCTTACAGCTACTCGCTACATAGACATCACCTCCTCCCACTCTTTAACCGCTAGAGGGAGATGTTTTAACACGACTACGCTCGATCCCACACATCTCTTGTAACAGGTGCCATCTCGCCAACGTTAACGTCAGTGTCCTTCCCTGGCCTTCCAAATCACCTGTTCTGAGCCCGATCGAGCATCTATGGGACGAACTTGATCGACGCGTCCGTAAACGTCACCAACATCCTCAGGCACTTGCAGAGCTTGGCATCGCGTTGCAGGAGGAATGGCAAAGAATTCCCCAAGCAAAAATCCGACGACTTGTGCAATCCCTTCTAAGGCGGTGTCGAGCAGTGACAGCTGCAAGGGGTGGTGTCACCAGGTACTGACCTGAACGCCCCCTTGTGTCCACACATGTGCAGTGAGTGAACGGAATTAATGCTGACAATGACAACAATACATTTGTTCGGCCGAGTGTCGAATTTCCTTCATCTACGTTCAAGCTCAGTCGACTTATGTACACTTAAATACGTTTAATACATTTCCCTATTTTTGGCCTATGCGTTTCTTTTTTTTAAAGAGTTTCTTTTCTCGTTACTACAGGTTTATTTAAAAACCTGAAATGTTAAGTATTGTTTAAAATTTTGAGTTTTTGAAAGAAGCTTGAGATAAAAAGAAAGGTTGGGCTTCGTTAAGGTCAGGGTCAGTTATAATAGATTTAAATGTCCTTCTTTGATATTTATTGGTACATTTTAAATAGTATTTAAATGGTGCATATAAGATTAAGGTAATAGGCTTAAAGCAACACATGACTACTTGCTCTGCTTCAGCGTGGGAATGGACGTCTTAAGCTGGTCTGGTGTTTCCTAAAGGTTAACGGTTCAATATACCATATTGAATATTAATGTATGCATATAGGCGGAAAACTGTATGGCAATTGGTTTGAATAAGCGGATATCGCTACTTGGGTGAAAGCGTGGGTTGTAATTGAGCGAGTGAGTGAATGAGTGAGTGAGTGAGTGAGTAGAGTCTTACGCCGCTTTTAGGAATATTTAGCAACATCACGGCGAGGGACACCAGAAATGGGTTTCACACATTGTACCCTTTTGAGGAATCGAACCTGGGTCTTCGGCAAGACGAGCGAACGCTTTCACCATGAGGCTACCCCACCACCGTCCCGGGATGTAATTGTGTGTTTGTTTGGTGGCGTACATATCCAATACACACGCACACCCACACGCACATGCATACACGAGAGTACATCGTTAACTGCAGACGTACATGTCGTTGAGAAGCTGGAAAGTTCTCTTTGCTCAAAGTTCCATACATAATACTCTCACTGAATTACGACATATTGTGACTAAATTTACTTTTATTTTACGAATAACAATAGCACCTGCAGCACCTTTGACGTTTTTAAACCATTTTAATATGTATAGTTAATTTACACCATCAGACATTAAATATGATAATCTATATCGTATATATTCATAAGATATAAGGAAAATATAAATAGTCATTCACCGCGTTTACATATTTTCCATGAAACTTATCTCTCTCTCATAATCTATTACCAGACGAGTTATCAAGTTATCAGCGAAGCACGTGACAGTATTGTCATATGAGTGCAAGGTGACGTCATACAATGCTCGAGTGACGTCATATAATTCTCGAGTGACGTCATGTTTGCCTGACATTTGTGAGTGCTAACGTTGATGTCCAATATATTTTTTATGGATTTAAACTTCTTTTTTATTTCCCCAAAGACGTTTCGTGACCATTCCAGGTCCCTTCATCAGGTGAACTATAAAAATATCTTGGACATCTACGTACAACCTCTAAATGCCACTAAAAGACAGTGCTAACGTTGTTGTTTTTACAAATTCCGGGCCCCGTTTCACAAAGTTATCGTAAGCCTAAGATCTCGTAACTTTTCTCGTTGCAATCGTACCTCCTATACTGTAACAAAGACTTACGAGAGTCGTAGCGCTAAGATCGAAAAAGGAATTTATTTTTTCAATTTTAAGAAATATACTTATAGACTCCGAATAATCTTAGATATTCTGCTTTCGCCTTTGCAAGGAATCAAATCTTAACAGACACAATTAGCACTACTGTCAGCATTTTTTAAATATTCATAATACTATGATATGACAATAACAACAAAGCAAATTTCAAATCACATAATATTAATGTTTTTGCTCCAATCGCAATAAGTATAACATCACCCTTATGTTACTATATACTTTCGCATATTTCTACCCATGATTATAGCTGGAATTATGAATCGGTTCAAATATTTGTTTGCGTGGCATTTTAGAAGTTAGGGCGTACAATATTGAACAAACTTTATGGCTAAAAACTTCTTTATTTCGTGAGTGCGACGTTTCGGTACAGATTCTTGTAGCGTTGTCAAGGAGGAATGGAACATGAAGAGGAGGAGATGTATAGACATGGAATGTAATTAGGATAACAACATAATTGGCTGGGCAATAAGCTGATAAATAATAATGAGATGTTTATACAGTAGAGTTTATACAGTAGATTGGGCCTGGTGGAGGAGTGCATCATAAGAGGATAGAATGAAGTATCCTTGGTCTCGGTTGATGGTGGGCTTTTGGCGTTTGATATGAATGGCTTCGGTGAACGTGCGTTTAGTGAAGTTCGTCTGATTGTTAGCAAGAATGGTGATGTCAAACCACTCTATTTGGTGATTTGGGTTTGCTTTGATGTGGTCAAAGTTGGCTGGTTTGCTGTCGGAATTGGTAACGGATGTGCCATGTTCTTTGACACGGTGAAATTTTCTTATTCGTAAAATAACGGTAACATAAGTACAATTTCAATAGGGTTCCAATATTGAGCAGAATGTATACATACGTGAAGCCAATGTGGTTTGTGAAAAGGCTTCTGGAAGCCAGTGGTAATCAAGTAAGAATTGGCATTTTAACGCCGCACACAGCACTATTCCGGCTATGAGAGCGGTCTGCACCAGACAATCCAGTGATCAGCAGCATGAGCATCGATCAACGTAACTGGCAACCGATCACATGTGTCAACCAAGTTAACGAGTCTGACCACCCGATCCCGTCAGTCGCAGTTTACGACAAGCATAAGTTACTGAAGATCATTTCTAACCCGTATGTTCACGAGTTACATGTTAGTCGCCTCTCGCATAGCTTGCTGAAGACCACTTCTAACCCTGATCTTCACGGGCCAATGCATATGTGATAAAAGAGAGAATATCCAAACCGTGGATGGATTGATTGAGTGAGTGAGTGAGGTTTTATGCCGCTTTTAATAATAATTATAATAATAATAATAATAATACAGCAACGTGATTGGCAAGATTCAGGAAAAGCATGATAAATATGCAGACCTCGCCTTTGAAATGTCTCGCTTGCATCCCAAGTACACTGTCGTCAGACTCCCCATTGTTCTCGGTGCCCTTGGTTTGGTACCTCCTGATCTCTTGGCGCAGATCAGGAAAGTGCCCGGGTTCTCCACCGGGAGCATAGCCCTTCTGACAATAATAATAATGGCCATCTATAACGCGCCTTTTCCACAAATTGTACATGCTCAAAGCGCTAACACATTATTACCCCGGATAGCCAAGCTGCCTGTTAGGCGCTAGAAGGTTATTAGTCACATGACTTGTCCCACCGGGTACCCACTTTCTACTGGGTGAACAGAGGCAGTTTTGAACAAACTCGCTTGCCTAAGGTGGGACCACATGATTCACATGTGCTTCGTTGTGGGGCAGGACACAAGTCCTAGAAACTCTCTGGAGTCAAGCTGCCAAACACAGTCACCTATTCAAGGACTGTCCGAGCTTAGCAATATTACAGCAATATCACCGAAAGGGACTCTAGAAATGGGCCTCACATATTGCTGGACTATTGCTAAAGGCGGCGTCAAACTAAACCTACTCACTCTTTCCAGGCAGTTTAGAGAAAGGTATCCAAGTTACAGATCTATTTATTGTTTACAAATACTGTAACTTAACCCCAGCTTGGACTTTGTTTACCGCTCAACAATGCACTGACACAGTTCAGGCTGGTACGTGTTGTTACCCGAACAAGTCGGTAACACTCAGCTGATGTGTGCACTCATTAAGGTAGATACATGGTATAATGACACTTCACCCTATCCAATTACAAATATCTACGAAAGCCTAATGCTGACACTTTTGCAGCATATATCTTTTCATTATTTACTCGTTGCTGCGAGTATTTTTCTTGTAATTTCAATCATTTTCTCGTTACTTCAAGTTTCTGTCAAAAACTTGAAATTTCGAGTATTTACTCTATGCTTCAAGTATTTTCTACCCGTGAAGGTCCGGGTTAGAATGAACTTTCAGTAACCCATGCTTGTCGTATGAGGCGACTGACGGGATCGGGTGGTCAGGCTCGCTGGCTTGGTTGACACATGTCATCGGTTCCCAATTGCGCAGATCAATGCTCATGCTGTTGATCACTGGATTGTCTGGTCCAGACCCGATTATTTACAGACCGCCGCGTTATAGCTGGAATATTGCTGAGTGCGGCGTAAAACTAAACTCACTCACTCATGTATTTTCTCGTTACTTCAATTATTTTTTCGTTGCTTCAATTAATCTCTCCTTGCTGTGAGTATTTTTTCGAAAAGTTTCTTTCAAATAGTAACGAGAAAATATTCCAAGCATCGATTAAATACTCAAAATTTCAAGTTTTGGGAAATAAATTGAAGCAACGTGAAAATACTTGAAAGTTCAAGTTTTCGAAAACAATTGAAACAACGAGAAAATATTCGAAGCAAAGAGAAAATAATAGAAGTAATGAAAATATAACTGAAGTAACCAGAAAATACTCGAAGTAATGAAACAATAGTTGAAGCGACAAAAAAATACTCAAAATTTCAAGTTTTTGACAGAAACTTGAAATAACGAGAAATGATTGAAGCAACGAGAAAATAGTTGAGGCAACGAGAAAATATTTCGCTGAAAAAAAAAAAAATATGATACAAAAGTGGCATCATCAGGCTTCCGTAGATATCGGCCTGTCTTGTTTCCCTGGTCACATGTCACGCGTGTACTATAAACCGTAGTGTTTTCGAGAGAGGGGCGTATTCAGACACCTGCCGCCATGTTGAGAATCATTGTCCTCGCCGTCGTCGTTGCTGCCGCTGTTGCTGACCCCTGCTGTACACCCGACCAATGGCAGGGGGACATGGGCAGCATTACAGGAGCGGTCACCGACGGCATCAGTAGAACTGCTAAGGTTGGTGTCATGGTAGCAGTGAGTGATTGAGTTTAGTTTCACGCCGCACTCAGCAACATTCCAGCTATATGGCGGCGATCTGTAAATAATCGAGTCTGGACCAGACAATCCAGTGATCAATAACACAAACATTTATTTATGCAGTTGGGATACCGATGACATGTGTCAACCAAGTCAGCGAGCCTGACCACCCGGTCCCGTTTGTCGCCTCTTACGACAAGCATGGGTTACTGAAGATAAATTCTAACCCGGAAGTGAAGAGGTAGACTGGTTCTTGATTTACAGTTTACAGCGTTTAAAACGAACACGCTTATAACGAACTGACGGTTATAACGAACTGTTTTTCTTCCCCCGAAAATATCCTTTTATTTTGGTCGAAATGCCTGTCAAGAACTAAATTTAGAGTCCCCTTGAGATCCTAGTTACTTTATAAAATAATTAGGCTTACTCTTTAATGGACACCTGATCAAGTGACCTTGATTTTCCATATGACTAAGCTTGATTTGCAAGTTAGGTAGGTAATATTTTTGAAGTAAGGACTTTCTGTTGTATGTAAAAATAGACCCTCATTATTCTATTTTATAATGTAAGCTAACATCATATTTTTTTGTTATATTTACATCAGTCAGCAGACAGCCTCTGTAGCAATGATAATTAGTCTCATTTTTGTTTAGAAATAGTTTCTGTGTGTGCGGGAAATGATGACGTAATGAGTGACGTGTAGAAAATGATGACGTCATGAGATGATGTGTAAAATGATGCCGGTCGAAATAAATGCATAAGAACTAAGATCGGAGACTCTATCTGTTTTGTATTCAGAGAAAGATGTATGAAACGATCCCAGTACCCACGTAAAGCTGCAGTACGTGTATATCTTTCCCTATAGGTGAGCGGTATGACGGCATACGACTACATCAATAAAATGGTTGCCCAGACAACGACTGTGACGGAAGGATCCCTGAGGATGACGAACAAGACGATCATCAATTTCAACACGGTAAGTCTTCACAAAACATTACTGTGTGTACCTTGTGTGTGTGTGTGTTTGTGTGTGTTTATATATGTGTGTTTGTGTGTATGTATGTGTGTTTGTGTGTGTTTGTATGTGTGTATGTACGTGTTTGTGTGTATATATATGCGTCTTTGTTTATGTGTGTGTGTGTTTATGTATGTGTGTTATGTTTGTGTGTATGTATGTTTGTGTGTATGTGTTTGTGTGTATGCGTGTATGTATGTGTGTTTGTGTGTATGTGTGTTATGTTTGTGTGTATGTATGTTTGTGTGTGTGTTTGTGTGTGTGTATGTACGTGTTTGAGTGTATATATGTGCGTGTTTGTTTATGTGTATGTGTGTGTATGTGTTTATGTATGTGTGTTATGTTTGTGTATATGTATGTTTATGTGTGTATGTGTGTGTGTATGTGTGTATGTATGTGTGTGTAGTTGTGGGGAGGGTTAGAATAATCAACTTTCGGTCGTTTCATCGTGTTCTACTTGCTGATTGATTTTGTGTTTGAATTCACAGAAAATGATGTACCTGATCGACAGTACAAGAGACCTGTGCGAAGTAAAGTCCATCGACCAGCCCATGAAACAGGCCTGTACCCCACGTATGTTATTTTGATTAACTTACGTAATCATAATCATAATGCCGAGTGACGTCACGACGCATGGGTGCGCGCATTGCGCTCTAAGCAGCACTCAAACCAGACGTCAGACGTCATATTATATATCAAACACCTTCAAATGTCCACACATGTGTGTGGCGGTGGGGTAGCCTAATGGTTAAAGCGTCCGCTGGTTACGCTGAAGACCCGGGTTCTATTCACACAACACAGAAATTGGCTTCACACATTGTACCCATGGGGGGCATGGGGAAATTGTAACCTGGGTCCTCGGCGTGACAAGCGAAGGTCTTAACCACTAGGCTACCCCATCGACCCATGTATAACAGGAACATCTATGTATTCAAGTGGGAAGTTTCTTTCAGCGGGCGCAGAGGAGGTTGGGCAGTTTTATTTTGGAGCAGGGGCTGACAACGAGCTTGATGCCACATCATACAAGTTCACGGCCAACGCAATGGAGGGCTATCTATCTGTGACCAGCCTGGATTGTCTGCCCATTACTCTCGTCACTTACGGACAAATTGGCAACAGTAGGTCTTTTATAAGCTTTTCCTATTTTCAGTGAGTGAGTATGGTTTTACGCCGTTAAGCAATATTCCAGCGATATCACGACGAGGGACACCAGAAATGATTACACAATGCCATTTAGAAAGTGGTCAAATGTAACATATGTTACATTTGGGATTACACTTTCTTAGTAAAGTACAGATTCTAGTACTTTTGTTGGGTTGAGTATCATCCGGGATTCGAACCCACACCCTCAGAGTCAGGCACCTAATCGCCAGCACACCAAGCTGAGCGGGTTAGACGGCTGACTTTATGTGCTGGCGATTAGGTGCCTGATTCTGAGGGTGTGGGTTCGAATCCCGCATCCCGCAAAAGTACTAGAATCTGTACTTTATTAAGAAAGAGTATTATCTTACCTTCATGAAAAATACTTTAATTTCATATTGTCAATGACGCTTTAACAAGTTTCCGTGTCACCCCTCCCAGGAGGGTGACAACTGGAAAAAATATTACCCGCTGCCACGGTAACCGCCAAACTCTTCGCCGAGAAGCTGTATCGATAACAATCGTATGACGTCATAATATGACGCATGCAGTGCCCGGAGTACAAAAACCGTTCGATTAGCTGTTTTTGAGTTCACTATTTAGAGATGTATTTCACCGACTTTCACTGCTTTATTTAAATTATTTTAAACATTGAATCGTTTGCACACTCGTGATGCTCGCCACTGACAGTAGCTCATGAATATCTAACATCAATGTATGGTGCTCCCGAAGGGTAATCATGTATGGTGCTCCCGAAGGGTAATCATGTATGGTGCTCCCGAAGTGTAATCATGTATGGTGCTCCCGAAGGGTAATCATGTATGGTGCTCCCGAAGTGTAATCATGTATGGTGCTCCCGAAGGGTAATCATGTATGGTGCTCCCGAAGGTGTGCTCCCGAAGGGTAATCATGTATGGTGCTGCCGAAGGGTAAACATGTATGGTGTCTCCTGAAGGGTAATCATGTATGGTGCTCCCCGAAGGGTAATCATGTATGGTGCTCCCGAAGGGTAAACATGTATGGTGCTCCCGAAGGGTAATCATGTATGGTGCTCCCGAAGGGTAATCATGTATGGTGCTCCCGAAGGGTAATCATGTATGGTGCTCCCGAAGGGTAATCATGTATGGTGCTCCCGAAGGGTAAACATGTATGGTGCTCCCGAAGGGTAAACATGTATGGTGCTCCGAAGGGGTAAACATGTATGGTGCTCCCGAAGGGTAAACATGTATGGTGCTCCCGAAGGGTAATCATGTATGGTGCCCCGAAGGGTATGCATGTATGGTGCTCCCGGAAGGGTAAACATGTATGGTGCTCCCGAAGGGTAAACATGTATGGTGCTCCCGAAGGGTAATCATGTATGGTGCTCCGTGTAGCGTAAGGGTAATGCAATTGCCCGTATGTATGGTGCTCCCGAAGTATGGTAAACATGTATGGTGCTCCCGAAGGGTAAACATGTATGGTGCTCCCCGAAGGGTAAACATGTATGGTGCTCCCGAAGGGTAATCATGTATGGTGCTCCCTCCCGAAGGGTAAACATGTATGGTGCTCCCGAAGGGTAAACATGTATGGTGCTCCCGAAGGGTAATCATGTATGGTGCTCCCGAAGGGTAAACATGTATGGTGCTCCCGAAGGGTAAACATGTATGGTGCTCCCCGAAGGTAATGCATGTATGGTGCTCCCGAAGCAGGTAATCATGTATGGTGCTCCCGAAGGGTAAACATGTATGGTGCTCCCGAAGGGTAAACATGTATGGTGCTCCCGAAGAGGTAAAACATGTATGGTGCTCCCGAAGGGTAAACATGTATGGTGCTCCCGAAGGGTAATCATGTATGGTGCTCCCGAAGGGTAAACATGTATGGTGCTCCCGAAGGGGTAAACATGTATGGTGCTCCCGAAGTGTAAACATGTATGGTGCTCCCGAAGGGTAATCATGTATGGTGCTCCCAGAAGGGTAAACATGTATGGTGCTCCCGAAGGGTAAACATGTATGGTGCTCCCGAAGGGTAAACATGTATGGTGCTCCCGAAGGGTAAACATGTATGGTGCTCCCGAAGGGTAATACATGTATGGTGCTCCTCCATGAATGGTAATCATGGTAAACATGTATGGGTGCCCCGAAGGGTAAACATGTATGGTGCTCCCGAAGGGTAAACATGTATGGTGCTCCCGAAGAATAAACATGTATGGTGCTCCCAGAAGGGTAAACATGTATGGTGCTCCCGAAGGGTAAACATGTATGGTGCTCCCGAAGGGTAAGCATGTATGGTGCTCCCGAAGGGTAAACATGTATGGTGCTCCCAGAAGGGTAAACATGTATGGTGCTCCCGGAAGGGTATGCATGTATGGTGCTCCCGAAGGGCAAACATGTATGGTGCTCCCGAAGGGTGATGCATGTATGGTGCTCCCGAAGGGTATAGCATGTATGGTGCTCCCGAAGGGTAAACATGTATGGTGCTCCCGAAGGGTAAACATGTATGGTGCTCCCGAAAGAAGGGTAAACATGTATGGTGCTCCCGAAGGGTAAACATGTATGGTGCTCCCGAAGGGTAAACATGTATGGTGCTCCCGAAGGGTAAACATGTATGGTGCTCCCGAAGGGTATGCATGTATGGTGCTCCCGAAGGGTAAACATGTATGGTGCTCCCGAAGGGTAAACATGTATGGTGCTCCCGAAGGGTATGCATGTATGGTGCTCCCGAAGGGTAAACATGTATGGTGCTCCCGAAGGGTAAACATGTATGGTGCTCCCCGAAGGGTAAACATGTATGGTGCTCCCGAAGGGTAAACATGTATGGTGCTCCCGAAGGGTATGCATGTATGGTGCTCCCGAAGGGTAAACATGTATGGTGCTCCCGAAGGGTATGCATGTATGGTGCTCCCGAGAGGGTAAACATGTATGGTGCTCCCGAAGGGTAAATGCATGTATGGTGCTCCCGAAGGGTATGCATGTATGGTGCTCCCGAAGGATAAACATGTATGGTGCTCCCCGAAGGGTAAACATATGGTGCTCCCGAAGGGTAATCATGTATGGTGCTCCCAGAAGGTAAACATGTATGGTGCTCCCGAAGGGTAAACATGTATGGTGCTCCCGAAGGGTATGCATGTATGGTGCTCCCGAAGGTAATCGTGTATGGTGCTCCCGAAGGGTAATGTATGTATGGTGTATCCCGAAGGGTAAACATGTATGGTGCTCCCGAAGGGTAAACATGTATGGTGCTCCCGAAGGGTAAAGCATGTATGGTGCTCCCAGAAGGGTAAACATGTATGAATGTAGTGCTCCCGAAGGGTAAACATGTATGGTGCTCCCGAAGGGGTAAACATGTATGGTGCCTTTGAAGAAGGTGCTCCCCGGAAGGGTAAGCATATGCATGGTGCTCCCGGGTAAGCATGTGGCATGGTATGAAAGCCCTGAAACGGAATGTATGGTGCTCCCGAAGGGTAAATATGTATGGTGCTCCCGAAGGGTAAACATGTATGGTGCTCCCGAAGGGTAAACATGTATGGTGCTCCCTGAGGTCCCAGAAGAATGTAAACATGTATAAACATGTATGGTGCTCCCGAAGGGTAAACATGTATGGTGCTCCCGAAGGAGGTAAACATGTATGGTGCTCCCGAAGGGTAAACATGTATGGTGCTCCCGAAGGGTAAACATGTATGGTGCTCCCGAAGGGTAATCATGTATGGTGCTCCCGAAGGGTAATCATGTATGGTGCTCCCGAAGGGTAAACATGTATGGTGCTCCCGAAGGGTAAACATGTATGGTGCTCCCGAAGTGTAATCATGTATGGTGCTCCCGAAGGGTAATCATGTATGGTGCTCCCGAAGGGTAAACATGTATGGTGCTCCCGAAGGGTAAACATGTATGGTGCTCCCATGAAGGTGTAAACATGTATGGTGCTCCCGAAGGGTAAACATGTATGGTGCTCCCGAAGGGTATGCATGTATGGTGCTCCCGAAGGGTAAACATGTATGGTGCTCCCGAAGGGTAATCATGTATGGTGCTCCCGAAGGGTATGCTCCCGAAGGGGTAAACATGTATGGTGCTCCCGAAGGGTAAACATGTATGGTGCTCCCGAAGGGTAATCATGTATGGTGCTCCCGAAGGGTAATCATGTATGGTGCTCCCGAAGGGTAATCATGTATGGTGCTCCCGAAGGGTAATCATGTATGGTGCTCCCGAAGGGTAAACACCCGAAGGAGAAACATAATCATACAAACACAATTACGATATGAAAATAAACGGCTCTATAGGGGTAAAAACCTTAGGTGTTGCGATACTTTCTTCCATGTGTATATTTATAATGGAGAGGCATTCACATAAGCCATTACTGCTTATCTTATCTTAACAAATCATTTTAATTCCATGAAAAATCTCTGGTGTGTCTGTTTCGGATTTACCATCTCATCTTAATTTCCGTGATCTTCAAGTCGCTGAGAGAATTTTACCCGATTCCAGCCACATCTTATTTACTGAATATGATCTTTTACCTCTAGGCCGCCGATACCAAATGCCCTATTTTAAAACAAAAGGAGTTCAAAATTATTTTATTCTAGCAAGTATTCGTCTTTTAAATGACTGTTAGCTTTGTCTGTCTATTGTGTTGTTTTGTGTTATTTCTAATATATAATTATGTGATCACTTTCAAATATAAAGAGAAGTCCCATATGGGTAAAAAATATTGTCAGTGTCATCATTGTTTACCATCCAAATTCTGTCTTATTTAATGAAATATGAATAAACCTATTTTTTGCTACAGCTGCCACCATGACGACTATTGGTTTCGCCGACGTCATGCTGAAAATCGAAGACCCCTCTATATTCGACCCCCCGAGTTCTTGTGACGAGGCCAAGGCGGTGAGAAATGCACGGAAACCTCCCATTATTGTTATTATTGTATTCTTGACATTTCAAGTTACTGCTTTAAAATGTCTAGGTATGTAAGTTGAAATTTCAAGTTACTGCTTTAAAATGTCAAGGTATGTAAGTTGAAATGTCAAGTTACTGCATTACAATGTCAAGGGATGTAAGTTGAAATTTCAAGTTACTGCGTTAAAATGTCAAGGGGATGTAAGTTGAAATGTCAAGTTACTGCGTTACAAATTGTCAAGGGATGTAAAGTTGAAATTTCAAGTCACTGCGTTAAAATGTCAAGGGATGGTTGAAATTTCAAGTTATGTAAGTTGAAATTTCCAGTCACTGCGTTACAATGTCAAGGGATGTAAGTTGAAATTTCAAGTTACTGCGTTACAATGTCAAGGGATGTAAGTTGAAATTTCCAGTTACTGGGTTAAATGTCAAGGGATGTAAGTTGAAATTTCAAGTTACTGCGTTAAAATGTCAAAGCTATGTCAACCTCCTGCGTTCGTAGCATGGTGTAGAGTGCTTGAGTGACATTGAGCAGGGTAAACCAATAATGGTTCCCTGAGGCAATGCTTGAGTGACATTGAGCAGGGTAAACCAAGAATGGTTCCCTGAGGCAGTGACTGAGCGGCTCTGAACAGGGTACACCAAGAATGATTCCCTGAGGCTGTGCTTGAGTGACATTGAACAGGGTACACCAAGAATGATTCCCTGAGGCAATGCTTGAGTGACATTGAACAGGGTACACCAAGAATGATTCCCTGAGGCAATGCTTGAGTGACATTGAACAGGGTACACCAAGAATGGTTCCCTGAGGCAGTGCTTGAGTGACATTGAACAGGGTACACCAAGAATGGTTCCCTGCGGCAATGCTTGAGTGACATTGAGCAGGGTAAACCACGAATGGTTGCCTGAGGCAGTGCTTGAGTGACATTGAGTGGTTGCAATAAAGCTTTGTTTTTTGGCGGAGTGAGCAGGGTAAACCAAGAAGAAACATTGAGTAACATAGGCTACAATCAAGAATGGTTCCCTGAATGACAGTGTGACATCGCATGGAGGGAACCAATATTTGTTCCGACAGAAAGAAGCATGAAGTGGGGAACGTGACGAATGTTTTCCTTCAATGAGCGAAAATCCATCTAGTAACGACCAGCGGGTTCCCAGTATCAGTTGTGACGTGACAAGCAAGTGACGTCACAACAAACATGAGCTCCGTGGTGAAAAATAATCAGTCAGTTGCTACGTATTTACCCGAAATCAAACCTCGTTGTTTCTGTTGCAGACACCACTTGAGAAGTGACGTCACAACAAACTCTATGACGTCATAAGCACCTATTGTGGAAATAGTCAGTACCTGCGGTTTGTTACCTACGTTTTATACACGCGTATTTTCTGTTGCAGACACCACTTGAAAACCATGGCATTCACAGTTTCCTTGGTACCCCTACAACTCACCACGTGTAATGGACACCCGTGACGGTACATCAAGATCTAGCCATTGTATTCCTGTTGAAGACCATTTTCCATTGAGATTTTCAAATGCAAGAAATACATGTTTGTTTTTCTTTCAAATCTCAACATTGTTTGAGGTGATTGCTATCGAATCAGTATGGACAGCAAATAATATCCTTTGATATCATCCACAAATGCATAATAAAAATATAGAAAAATGCTTTCATTCTTTACCTGTTTTGTAACTTTGCACTCATCAATAATCCAGCGATGTGTAAATATTCAAGTCACTCTAGTGACTGACATCATGAGCACTCATGATCCACACATGAACCAAGTCTGACCATATACGGCTCGTTTAGTCCCCTCTCGGGACTAAAGACTCTCGAGAGTAGCATGCTGTAGACTTATATTCGTCACGGAGTCTTCATGGGGTGCACAGTGGGCTTGCAACATAAAACACTGAACATCCTGGTTACATTTGATCTTCAGCAACTTACGTAAGAGGCGACTGGCTAGGGGTTTAGCCTAGTGGCTAGCCAAATAACATAACGTATTACTCCAGATTAAGTTTTCAGTGCTAGCGAAATAACACAAATGTATTTCTCAGATTATTAGGTTTTTAGTGATTGACAATAAAATGTATTACTCCGGATTATTAGGTTTTTAGTGATGGACAATAAAATGTATTACTCCGGATTATTAGGTTTTTAGTGATTGACAATAAAATGTATTACTCCGGATTATTAGGTTTTTAGTAATTGACAATAAAATGTATTACTCCAGATTATTAGCTTTTTAGTGATTGACAATAAAATGTATTACTCCGGATTTTTATTTTTTACAGTGCTGGCCCAGTAAGGTAATATTTTACTAGGGTTGGGTATTGCCAAAATCTTCGTATTGCGATATATTGCGATATGTGTTGGCGCATTGCAATATGTATTGCCATATATTGTGACAGTGTAACACATGGTTTAGCTCTTTCAACACCAGTCAACCAGAGACTTTTACTGCCATGACACAGAGTTCCCAGAAGTCATAGATGAAGCCGATGAAAACATTATAGCAACTACATTTGAAAGGTCTAATCCTACAATATTTATAAATGTGAAAGTTATTCTTTTAAAATAGTATTCAATAATACAACTACAATTCAAATAAGTTAATTTTAATGAAAATAAAGCTTACACATTATAATGTACAGATAAACCATGAAGGAAGCAAAGAATGCGGCGATTTTTCCCTTTGTAACATGTCATTATATCCCCTTACCGTTTTCTTTTGATATTTTCATTTTTACGTAATCTGAAAATTGTTTTAGAAAGATTTCTGAAATAATATGTATGGTCGTTTATTTCACAATAACAGGGTTTTTTGGCTCGGTAACATGTTGCAACAGAGGGAAATATTTCCATTTTCGAGGATTTGATGAATAACGCTGAGTAACTGTATTTTTTCGCAGTTTATTGGATAAATATTGGTTTCTAATGACGCTTTTTCCTCCACCGACTGCTATAAGGATCGTGATTGGTCAAAATCATGCACGTGTCCCGAGGCACCCAATCATATTACATCAATACCGTCCTCGTAAATGAAAACCTTTAGATTAAGGAGAAAGTCTTTGGTAAAATCATGCTATTCTGAACGTGTTACGCACAAAATCACCACCTATACGTACATTATGGAACTTAGTGGACGTAGCGTGCTAGGTTATGATCTGTGTCAAAAATGCTTCATGCATATATTTTAGCATTAAACATCGTGTCCGAGCGTGAAGATTGAGGCGACGAAAGCCGGGATGTCACTTGACTTACATTAGATGATCGCACACAAAAAGATGGAAATAGTAACTTATAAAATGTTCGTTCGACAACTTTTTATGAGTACTGCTGTTGATTTTATTCTTTAGTTTATTTAATGTGTTTAATTGTTTCCTCGAAACATAGTTACTTTGCTCTTTGACAATTCTGAAATGGAGCCGTTGCCGAAGCATGTGTCAGAGAATCAGTTTTTTTTCCAATAACATTGCGAAAAATAGTTTATAATTATAATTCTGTCGATAATATATGTTCATTTGAAATGTAATAAGTGTTTTCAGACATTGTGAAAAAAGGTAGATTTAATAAATGAATCATATGTTAGGTAGGTTCCTAAACTTATATTATTTGATGCGCCTACTGACTGGTCTCTCGTTAAATAAGAGTAAATGGCCTGTAGGGACATATGTACATCAGTGTATAGTCCGTTTGGCTCAAAAGCGGACCGATGAATTACATTTAACTCGAAAACTAATAAACATAACATACTCAATGAAACGCTAATCATAATCAAAACATCATACTAACTCTGTGAAAGGGACAGCCAGGTGTTCGAGAACGGATGGAGACGGCACAGCACAGGTTAATGAATAAATAACTTTGTCTGTGAACGTGCTTCTCGAACACCTGGCTGTCCCTTTCTCTGCACTCCTCCCTCGTAACAAACAGTGAACTGTGTCAATATTTTAATGATAGTTTGTTAAACAACTTTATTCTTTTAGGACAAAATTTCTGCAAAAACCCCACAGAGTTGGTATGATGTTTTGATTATGCTCAGCGTTTCATTGAGTATGTTATGTTTATAAGTTTTCGAGTTAGATTGCAATTCATCGGTCCGCTTTTGAGCCTAACGGACTGAAGTGACGAATGTCCAGATGATGTAACGGTCGAGTGGGTGCTTTTGAATCCAGAAAGCAGTGTTGAAAACAGGCACGAAAGTCAAAGTTTTGCCATCAGATTGTAAAAGAGGCATACAAACGCCCTTGTCTCACACCTACGTATGTTACACAAAGATAAATGTTTCCCATAGACTTCCATAAATTGCCTTAAAAATAACTAGATAACCAGATCCCGGATGTATCAAATTTTAATGAAGCGTTAACGTCTCATTAAGTAGGTTCATGTATCATTATATTCAGTTGTACTAACGTTTTAATGACGCCGTTAACTTAATGAAGGTTATGGGTATCATTAGAGAGTCATTAAAACAAACATGGCTGCCAGCATATTTTTTTAACGCTAAGGGCGCTAAGGGAAAGGCAGTGTGTTTTAGACAATGAACTGAGCATCTCGAATCCATGACAGAAGTTTTGGCATGCAATATATCTGCGATCTGGCGAGAGATGAATTACAGCCATAAACTGCAAGATCTCCAGCACTGAGTGTTGAACTACAGATGGATGTTCGATAATTATTACGTTATTAGCCAAATCTCAGAAAATGTGATATAAAAACGTTTCTGTTCCGAGGTTTAGGCGGCCATTTTAACGCGTGCGCGATTACATCGGGGAATTGTGGGAAGTATTTAGGGGAATCCCCGAATGTAATGAAAACATTTACCCCAGGAGCACATGATGTTCAAATCCTTGTTTCTACCATTGTCAGTACAATGCACTGAGGCTTCCCACATGAATCAGCCACGCTCTTGGTAAACGATGGCTGGAAGTTCTGAACAAGAGACATTTAGGAGCCAAGGAGAGAGGGATATACATGTATGTGAGATATTTTCAAGAAAAAGTTCAGATTTGAATACGCGATACATGGTACCCTTGGAAGAATTCGAAATCTCTGCGCGCCATGTTTGGGTTGCTATATCATTTAACCGTACGGAGATAATAGTTTGAATTTCATTGGGAAAGACAGCTTGTTGACTTAGCCAGTTTCATTAAAAACGGCTTCCACAGATTTTATCCATTTTTGATTGCTATTCTTTATACAGGCTTCATTGTATAACATTTGGTATAACATTCTTGACAGCTTTTGTTCTTTACCAGATAGGAGTCTAGCCCAGAAACATACCATACGACATATATCACGGCGGGGGGACACCAGAAATGGTCTTCACACATTGTACCCATGTGGAGAATCGAACCCGTGTCTTCGGCGTGACGAGCGAACGCTTTAACCACTACGCTACCTCAACGCCCCCTAAGCTATGCCTCTGCTGTCATATTCGGGATATTTCCCAAAGTTTCCTTCACCTTCAAACATATTAGTTACTTGATCCTCTACTTAAATATAGGACCCGTGAAGGTCCGGGGTAGAATAGGCCTTCAGTAACCCATGCTTGTCGTAAGAGGCGACTAACGGGATCAGGTGGCCAGGCTCGCTGACTTGGTTGACACATGTCATCGGTTCCCCATTGCGCAGATTGATGCTCATGCTGTTGATCACTGGATTGTCTGGTCCAGACTCGATTATTTACAGACCGCCGCCATATAGCTGGAATATTGCTGAGTGAGGCGTAAAACTCAACTCACTCACTCACTTAAATATAGAATAATAAATTCGATGAAATTCTTACATTTCTAGCACGAAAAATGTTTCCTTATAAGTAAATATGGCCTGAAATAGTACACTTTAATTAAGATAAAATATCATTGATGGGAAATCTTGATCTAGGACCTTCATATTAAGTCAAGTTTTCTTTCTGCCAATTTCAGTGACGATATGATCTTTGGTGAAAACTCGAGTGTGACAGATCTTTTCAAGACACTCTTATTGCATCAAAACATGAAACCCTGAAGACAAAGTATGCGATCTCCTCACTCACTCACTCATGATGAACGGCTATGCGAATGAACTGGACACGTTTTGTAAGTGCTGAAGGTTTAAACTCTCACTTGGAAAGTCGATACAACTAAACTAAACAATCCAAATATTATCCAAAACACCCATACCAATGAATAGTTTGGTGACTAGAACTCAATTTGACGTTATGATAGAGCTATGAAACAGATGAACACACTATATGAACTACACACGAGCAAATCCCTGTCGCCTAGGTGATAATTCCTAGTAACAACATGCACCGTGTGTTTTTGTGAACTCAAATGTCACTTTACTCACAGACACAATCCATTAACAAAAAACAATATTTAAAAATGATCAATCATTACATGAACATATTGTAAACCGTCTGACTTTGATATCTGTTGTTTAGTGTGTCAACCCGTGAAGGTCCGGGTTAGAATTGGTCACAGTAACCCGTGCTTGTGGTAGGAGGCGACTAACGGGATCGGGTGGTCAGGCTCGCTGACTTGGTTGACACATGTCATCGCATCCCAATTGCTTAGATCGATGCTCATGCTGTTGATCACTGGATGAGTGTCTGTTCCGGACTCGATTATTTACAGACCGCCGCCATATAGCTGAAATATTGCTGAGTGCGGCGTTAACAAGCAAACAAAATGTTTGTGTGTCACAATAACTTTTCAGGGGCGCACGCACGCACGCACGCACGCACGCACGCACGCACGCACGCACGCACGCACACACTTTTGAAAATGACAACTAAGAATCCAAATGCTTCATATTTATTAAAACAGGTACATGCATCGTCAGCTGCACACATGATTCGCGCACGCAGACCATCAGATATTCGGGATCCGCCACTTGAGAAACTCTGAAAGGACCATATCAATGAACTTCACAAATGAAGCCGCTTGTTTTAATACATCGGCGGTCGACCCAGAAGGTGCCGACAAACTGGAAATTCGCCAGTGCCACGCAGTGTTTCTTTAAAGTGTGACCGACTTGCGTGGAGGTGAGACGTGGTTCTCCGCGGCCCCAGTTTTCGTGCACTACGGGAGTCTTGTCTGTCCACCAAAACATACTCGTATTCTCGAAATATCTGAGGCCAATCCAAAGAAAAGCTGCAAGAGACACGTGTATAGACATTCATATGTGACACATTTCTTGTAAAGGAAATGAACTTTTATGAGGCAGAAAACAACATGTTAAATACACGGTCTCTAATTAATTTTATAGTGACAAAAACATGCTTAAATGCTAGGCACTGGTGGCCCAGACGCCTAACGCTCCACAATACGCCTAGCCCAGTTACTTCCCTTTGGTGTGCCAGAATCCAGAGATCTCCGCCTCATCCACTCACTTTTCACGAACATCATCAACTAAAGGGTATTTTCTAGTCCAAAGATAGTCATTTTATTATAAGTAAAACAAATTAGCGACCCAAACACTGAGGTCCAGTAATGGTAACCAGCCAGGTCGCCTGCTTCCCTTAAGGAGGGCGAGGTGGGCGAGCTGGGCGAGGTGGGCGAGCTGGGTAAGGCGCCAGGCGAGTGATCCAGTGAGGTTGAGGTGTCGGGATCGAGCCCACCTGTGACCGGGTGTAAAAACCTTGGAGTCAACTTTGTGTGCAGACTCTTTCAGCGTTGTCACAACCCCTAGTGTACAGTACACAACCCTGTGCACTTAAACAAAACCAATCCGTTGGTATATGACCAGATGGTGGCCACATGAATACGTGCAAACACCTAGTTGCGGGTACAGCAACGTCCAGTGAACTTGGACAAAGTACTGTGACTATGTGTCCCAGTCCTCCCAGCTGTGAATGGGTACCTGGTAAGGATGCGAAAGCCACAATAACTCGGTGCGCCAAGTGGCTGCAAGAGTTGTATACTCCCAAGGGAGTTGAGATTGATAATATGATGTGCCGTTGAGATTGACATCCAATGATCGAGTTGCCTGGATTTGTGCGCTATATATATATATACTATAATAAATAATAATAATAATAACGGTTCACTGTCTAGTTAATGCCACCCTAAAATTTTTCGTTCTTTGTTATTTAACGCAGCACTCAATAGTATTCCAGACATATGACGGCGGTCTGTAAATAATTAAGTCTGGAACAAAAATAATCAAGTGATAATACGATGAGCGAGTGGGTTTAGTTTTACGCCGCTTTTAACAATATTATAGCAATATCACAGCGGGCACACCAGAAATGGGCTTCACACATTGTACCCACGTGGGGAATCGAACCCGGGTTTTCGGCGTGACGAGCGGACGCCTTAACCACTAAGCTACCACTATGATACGATGAAAATCATCAACCAAGACAGCGAAACTGATAGTTACTTCCCTTGGGGACGCCAGGAACCAGTATAGCGGACAAGTAAATGTTATGTTTTTCACTTGATTTTTGTGAGCATTTACTCATGAATCCCCATCAAACAGTCAGGATTTCAGGTGTTCCTGAAAAGGTGCGACTGTCCCATCCGTAGCTTATGCTACAAACACACAGAAACCTTGTCGGACGAACGGTGTTAAATGTGTACTGGGGACAAATAAGGAGAGTGCTGACATAAACGTCTCGGACTCTCTACAGTTTGCCAACTATTTTATCACTTTTTACTCTCGATTTGATACTGTTGGCTTGAATGAAAGAGGAATGTTCGAAATATGATGACCGTGTGATTGGTTGACTCCCTTTGATGTCCCCAATTCATTTCTCAAATCAATGTTAACAATGCAACTGGTCCGGATAATCTTCGTGGTAAAGTTTTAAAGTGAACAATTATCCCGAATTTGTAAAACAATTTTTCAAACTTCGATCAACAATCATTCTATCCCAAGCATTTGGAAAACTATTATTATCCCAGTACCTAAACTCCACACGCCCAACACAGATAATGATTTCCACTCAGTTGCTTTGACGTCTATATCTATGAAGTGAAATTGTAAAGCGTTTGCTCCTTTCAAGAAACAGATCACCTTGTCGACCCTCTTCAGTTTGCCTACAGGGATGGGCGAGGTGTCGAGGACATTACCATCACTTTATTAAACAATATTTACAAACATTTAGAACTTTCTCATTCCCATGTCCGTTTTTGTTTGCTGACTTTTCTTCGGTTTAAAATACCATCCAGCCTCATATGTAATGCAAAAGCTCTGTAATATGTCAGTCAACTCATGTGTTATACAATGGATATAATCTTTTCTTGTAAATAGACCCCAGTTTGTAACTGTTAAGAACACCCAATCAACAACATTCATATCCTCCGGTGCCACACAAGGTTGTGTTCTTTCCCCTGTTTTATTTTTTTATAAATACTCATGCAAATAATGGTTGTCAAACCACCAACCCCCCCCCCCAACCCCAACCCCCACACACCTCACGACCCCACCCCAAAACCCCTCTCCAATTAAAAAAATTGAAGGGGGTGACAACCATTATTGGCATGAGTATACAAAAGACTGTCTCAATAGTTTTTCATAATATTTAACTGTAAAGTTTTCAGATGTTGGATTTATAAGGTACTTAGAGAATGACTATCCCTCTGAAATCACAAAATTTCTTGATTGATGTAAAACCAACTTACTTGAATTAAATTCTAAGAAATAAAAGGAGATGGTTGATTTTTGGAAAAGTAAAGTGAGCTGTTGGCAATTGCCATTGATAACAAAACGATAGATACATTTTGAGGAAGTATCTTGGCACAGTGATAGATTCTAATCTCACCTGGAACAGTAACACTGATTTCATCTACAAGAATGACTAAAGTGGCTATACTTTTTACGTCGTCTTTGTTATTTTAAGATTGACAGAACCACATTATTGTTATTCTACAAGTCTTTTATTCAAAGTATTTTAGTTTTCAATGTACATTGCTGGTATGGGGTAAAATCGATGTAAACTTTATAAAATTGTTAACACAGCAAGTAAAATTTCTGGACTTAAAATTTTGATTTATGTTAATATTTAATCGCAGCTAAATACTTTATCAATTGTTTCAAACTGTGTTCTTAATATGCTTTATTGCTTTTGTTCATCAGGATAATTTTAATGTCGACACTACAGCTATAAAATCTTAGATATGTTATTATTTATTCTTCATTTATCTTGACCTCATATATTGGGCGTTATTGCCATCTATTATAGTAATATTTAACATGTATATAGGTGTTTTTGCATATGTATCTTTCGTTGTATTGCATGCAATCGTGTACAGCAAAATTTCTTCGGGATAATAAAGCATTATCTTATCTCTTTTCTAACTTATCTTATAGTAAGAGTTTTGCAATGATCTTCAGAAAAGAGCTCTAGTTAGTGAGTCAGTTAAGCTATATGGTCAGTACAGCAGAATTTCGTTACTACTGTAAGGAACACATGTATATTTAAAGACACATACAAAGGGAGGTCAACCGAGCAAGCACGGGGACACTGACCTTATGAAAACATGAAATAAATAGACTATCAAAGACTTATATTTGATACAGACGATAGATGGTCAGCAACTGAAAATATACTGAGAGAAACAAACAGGAAAAGTCAAGCGTTCCTTTAATATTTTCCAGTTTTCATCACCATCTTTGAATATCGCTGTGGTGATGAAAACTGGAAAATAAAAGGAACGCTTGAATTCTCCTGTGATCCTTTACTTGTATCTCTTAGTATATATCATCATACTAAGGCCAGTGGGGCCTTACAGTACATTTGCTACCAGCATGGCCTCTAGCAGGATGTATATTCGGGTGTATATTATTCATAAATGTAGGTGAACATCCACCAACGAACACTAACCGTAGGAATATATATGATTTTACCATCCAAAACTGTGTTCCACAGGAGATATCGCTTGTGTGAGATCAAACGATATCTCCTAGGAGATATCGTTTTGACAGTAGATTTTGTACAATGCCCTGACAATGCTATGACGTCATGTACTTGATGACGTCACAATGCTATGACATCGCTACACTGCAAGTCTAATGGCAGTACCATGTTCAGAGATGTACATTTTTCATTGAAAATTAATGAAGAGTGATTTTGGATGATAAATAGAATCTCACCCTCGTGTCTTCTGATATCAAATATATCAACACTCGTTGATAAAGTAAAAATATCCTCGGCAAGCCTCGGATATTTGTAACTTTATCAACTCGTGTTGATATAATTGATATCAGAAGACACGAGGGTGAGATTCTCTATGTAATTACATTACATAACCTTAATGGGTCCGCCTTTTACACTACAGTCGTGGTTACAGCCACCAACATTCTTTGAAGGACATACCTGGCCTACCAAAACATCGTTTAATCTTCATTTTCTCCTTGATTGCGGTATTCTTTTCTTCAGTGTCAATCTTGACCAGCGACCCCCCTTCAGACTGACAAACACCCAAAGGGGTCACGTGTCTCTTGACGTTGATCTTCGCTTTCCCAGCCTTGAACGCCCGATAGCCTGATTTCATGGTTTAAAGTAATAATTTCAATATTACATGAAATTTGAGCCAACAAATATTTTTACCGAAATAAATTGACTATGACTTTGGGGTGAGTACTTTGAGGAATATATTTTCAAAAAATATAATTGATGGTGATACGCTCTTTCTCAAACACTTGGTCTTTGGTTCTGGAGTGGACTTGACCATCCGACATAATTTAAAGTGTAAACGACTGATGAAAACAAACCTCAAATATCTGCCCAAACAGAATAGTGATGAAAGCAAAATGAATACATCATTGAAAATAACAAACAAACCTGATGTTCCCCGCCCCTTCTAGAAAGGATTTCTGGGTGTAAAACATTTAGACAAGAAATAGGATTGACAACGGAACCAATTTTGTTCCTCTCCTTGCGAATCTATTTCCTTAAGCATATAAATCAGAATTGACTGTAGTGGTGTGCTATATTTAGACTTGTGCTATATTTAGACAGAGCTCTGAAAGGTAATCTATGATACTGCAACCCTGTGGGTCTTTCCTCTATGTACTGAGCCAGGGAGTTGGAGAATTCTCTGGGGTCCTTTTCCTGGGTGTAAAACGGGAGCTAACTCTTGCCTCTCATCTAATTTTACATCTCAAGTGACTAAAAGATCTATAATTGTGTGGAGATCATTCTTACCCTAGATACTCAGCCTATTTTCAGACTTGACAATTGGTGCCATGAGGCGAATATTACCATCATTGTCTTTTTATATAACCACTGCTTTTGTATTATCCTGACGTTGAATTTCTATTTTGTACTGCCGGAGTAACACCTTTGTATTTGTATTAAATTGTAAACTTGGTTAATTTAAGAAAGCCATTGTCGATTACAGCGAGTTAGTTTACGGAAGGATAATAATATATGGATTAACAACTTCTTTAATGAATTACTCAGCACAATTTCAAGACATTACCTGAACGTTTGCAGTCCATTTAGACTCTTGACTTTAGTATCTAGTGTGACCACCACGAGCGGCAATAACTGTTACAGATGTCCCATCAGCGACATTTTTAACGAGGTGCTGACAACACGTGAATTGTGAACAGTAGTTGAACATTGGTGGGTTCGGAAATGTTGTTTTCCTGCGATATGTCAACAGTCAAACATGATTGTCACGTTCGCTTCAAGTTCATGTAAGAAACAATTACAGTCTCAGTACCGCGTATGACCCCCACGTGCCTCAATGCATGTCGTAACTCGTCGTCTCATCGATCACGTCAGACGTCTGATGACGATTGGTGGAATCCTTTGCCACTCCTCCAGCAGGGCCTCCTGTGGGGTTGTAACGGGTGGTCTTCCTGTTCTCGGCCTATCCTCAGTCCTTCCTCTCTGCCGGTAACGTTGCAGAAGCCTGGATACCGTCAGTAGCTTACACCCACCTTCTGGCGAGCTGCACCTCTGTTGGCCCCATTTCGGCCATACCAATGGCTCGCTCTCTTTCCTCACGTGTCAATCTCGGCTTGTATCTTTTGTGCTTTTATCAGCTGTGTTACCATGCTGTGTGTTGATCACATTTAAACACTACCTAGGCACGTGCATTTCGTTCTGCAGGCCTAAAACCTGTTTTACCAATCTCTCGTGCCAACCCTGTATTGTGAGTTGTGTTGCGTTTCGGCTATGTTATTTTGTAAAAAAGATTTGGTTCCCCCATAGTAAAAGTTCCGGCGGAACTTTTCATTCCAACATTTGTTCCTGTAATAGTGCATGCGGAACAATTATTTCGTTCCGCACACACAGAATTTATTCCGGGTAAAGAGGAACTTCCACACACATCACAAAGTGTCTAAAAGAGGGTTTTGTTTGTTGGGGTGGTCTTAAAAATTGGGGCGTTGGGGGAACGGAAAGGAAAAAAAGATTTTCCTACGGTATTTGTTCCATATGGAACAAATCATGTGGCTATCAAGAAGCAATTATCATGTGTGAAAGTTACTTAATTTTTTTTATGAAAATACATTGTAGATTCCACAGAATGCGAACTGATGATTCTAAATGAATCGTGTTAAAAAGAGTTCAGATATTATGTAACCAAGTTACCTTCATTAATCAGGTTACAGTCAGTAGCCAGGTTACAGTCAACATGTAACCAAGTTGCCGTTGGTCAGTAGCCAGGTTCATTCAATATGTAACCAAGTTAGAGTTAGTCAGTAGCCAGGTTACAGTCAACATGTAACTAAGTTACAGTTAGTCAGTAGCCAGGTTACAGTTAACATGTTACCAAGTTAGTCAGTAGCCAGGTTACAGTCAACATGTAACCAATTAACAGTCAGTCAGTAGCCAGGTTACAGTCAACATGTAACCAATTAACAGTCAGTCAGTAGCCAGGTTACAGTCAACATGTAACCAAGTTACAGTTAGTCGGTAGCCAGGTTAAAGTCACTATGTAACCAAGTTACAGTTAGTCAGTAGCCAGGTTAGTGAACATGTAACCTAGTTACAGTTAGTCAGTAGTCAGATTACAGTCAACATGTTACCAAGTTACAGTTAGTCAGTAGCCAGGTTACAGTCGACATGTAACCAAGTTACAGTAGGTAACCAGGTTACAGTCGACATGTAACCAAGTTACAGTCAGTAGCCAGGTTACAGTCAACATGTAACCAAGTTACAGTCAGTAGCCAGGTTACAGTCAACATGTAACCAAGTTACAGTTAGTCAGTAGCCAGGTTACAGTCAGCATATAACCAAGTTACAGTTAGTCAGTAGCCAGGTTACAGTCAACATGTTACCAAGTTGAAGTTAGTAGACATCCCGGATGTTGACAAGTTGGATGAGTCCATTTTGCATTCAATAATGACTGGAATAGGTTAGGCCTACGGTATTTGTTCCTGTTCGATGGAATATTTGCCGTATATGCGGAATTTTTATTCGTGTCATCCATTCTCAATTTCACGGCATTTATTCCGAACCGGAACATTTACTACTCGGAACTAAATCATGTTTACAATTTTCCCCTCTCTGTGCTTAGGCAATAACTGTCAGAATACCTACTGTTCTCTGTGAATCATATTTTTACAGGAAACCATCATTTGCCAACCTATACTTTCTTTTGCCGCTTAGTTTAGCTGTAATTATCATTTAGTATGATCTAACCAAACCTGATATTTGTTTTAGATTCTGTCACCAATGTTCACTTTTATATAGACAGGACTAGAAATATTGCTTACTTTGTTTTCAAGTATGTCGGAAAAGTACTTTAGGATTACATTATTATGCCTCCATTCAGATAAAAGTTACACATGAGTGTCTGTTTAGGAACAAAAGGTGAATATTTAATCATTCTAAGATAAGGTTTTGCTTAAGGAGCTAATTCCTTAATAATTAATCAGCATCCTTCAGCCAGCGTTGCATATAACGTTAAATATACTCAGCAGCAAAAAAACGTCAGTATGAATTCAAAATTAGATAGTCACGTAATCAAATCATTACAGAAATAGACATAATAAGCGGATCAAAATCATCTTTTGTATACAATTTCTTGACACATCAATGAATAACTCAGCACAATGTCAAGACATTACGTGAACGTTTGCAGTCCATTCAGACCCTTGACTTTAGTATCTAGAGTGACCACCACGAGCGGCAATAACTGCCGCACAACGTCTATGCATGGAGTGCACAAATCGATTGATGAAGGCCATTGGCACCTGGAACCACACTCTGAGAAAGGCCTGGCACAATAAATCGGCTGTGTTCGGCCTTGGTATGACGTTATTCAGTCTCCTCTGAATTTCATCCCAAAGATGTTCAATTGGGTTTAAATCAGGACTAAACGTTGGCCACTGCATAATGTTGACACCGTTCTGCTGTATGAAGTCCCGTGTTGCTCTGGCAGTATGGGCCCGGGTGTTATCATGCTGGAAAATGTTGTTCCGGTGACGTGCGAAATGTGGTATGACGTGGGGTCTGAGGGCTTGGTCGATGTAGCGCACTGCTGTGATGCCGCCTCCTCTCCCTGGACCAAGGTTCTGGAACACCACAGGACCCACTCTCTGGTTCAGGCCTATTCACCCCAGACCATGATGCTTGCACCTCCCCATGAGTCTCTTTCCATAACACATTGGTCTGAGTAATGCTGGCCACGTTTTCGCAAATATTTTTGTTCTGCCTTCTGCAGTTGATACGCAGTACCAACTCTCATCTGTGAACAGAACAGTTCTCCATTGCCTGTATCGCCAGTTTTGGTGTTGTAGGGCAAACTGTAGACGTTCACGCCGATGACGAGGGGTGAGGATAGGTCCACGGTAAGGTCTACGGCAATGGAGGTTCCTGCTGTTAAGATGTCGGCGTACTGTATCAGTACTGATTGGTCTTCCGTGTGTTCCCACTGTCTGGCGTGCTGTTTCGGATGCCTGCATGAAGGGATTCTGTACATGCTGTCGCACAACATGGCGGTCTTGTCGTCTTGTGGTCACCCTTGGTCTGCCAGTACGGGGGCGATCATTTGTGGTTTTGGTAGCCCGGAAAGGTTGACCTGGAAGTGATTGGCAACAGCTTGTGCAGTGTGGCCAGCTTCAAGTCTTCCTAGCGCCTGGTTCCTCTGAGCTGTCGTGAGAAGGGGCATCCTGCTGACGTTGTAATGCGACTGTTTCAACCAGGTTTGGGGGTGCATTTTATAGGGCTGGTCCTTGTGAACAGCACGTGCAGCATGAGTTGCATGAAAAACATGGAGAACACCGTACCATCTCCGAGATCAGGTTGCGTTTTTGAGACCATTTCCTGGGTTCCATTCTGAGTTTGGGAAGGAATGTCTTTGCTCAGATAAGGTTGGAGATGTTGTCAAAAATATACAATCAAAACATTAAAGAGTTTACAGTTATACGTTTATGCAAAGGAAAATTCCAAAACTGACGGGGTTTTTTCTGCTTAGTATATATACAAGTTAGAGGAGATGTTTGTACAGTACAATAGGGCATTAGGAAGCCAGACACAATAACAACACATGGGCTTTGATAACAGCGTTAACAACTTCATCAACAAAACAGAGGAATCCACCCGTCAACAACTTCTAAATGCCTCTCAAAGGAATTCGATTACGGTCTGATTCCCGGTAAACTACTTCATTAGTTTAGAATCTTTAGAAACTTAAGAATTAACATGTAATATAGAGTATATCTGTTTGGCAGGATAATTGGATAACAATGACAAAATTCAATATTTTATACATGACTTTCAAAATACTCCCTAAACAATATTGTTTAGAACCGCAGTCTATAGCTGTCAATCATTACAATGAAACGTTCTTCATGACACTTGGAAGAACTCCATGGTAACAAACCATGTATCTGTACCTGTGAATCAGTAACGAATTAGGCTATCAACCACATCATGGAATCTGACTGCCTGATCCATTTAGTCCCAACATGTAATGAAGTGATAGAAAATCCAGATTTACGACCTCCTCAATGTCATTTTGAACTTACTACAGACTCACTAAATGCTATCAATCTTACACTTGATGAAGTTCAAGATATTCTCCTCTCTTTTGATCCATCAAAGGCTACAGGACCAGATGGAATAGGAAATAGATTTCTGAAAGTCATGGCGAAAGGATTAGCTCCTTATTAACAAAATTGAAAGCAATGCGCTAGACACCATGTACAAATCGTTTGTGATGCCGATATTTGACTATTGTTGTCATATCTGGGATAATTGTACAAATGATCAGTCCCTTATTCTTGAACGGTTACATCTAGATGCACTTCGTACAACATGCGGCGCAGCTCGTAACACTAGTCATCATAGGTTATATATCGAATCAAAGTCTAAACCATTAAAAGAAAGAAGGCGCGACATTTAACTCATAAATGTTTACAAGATGAATAACGATCTGGCACCTGACTACTTCTGCGACCTTGTTCCTAAATTTGTCTCTGAAAACAGTCAATAC